TTTGCTTCCAGGAAATTAAACAAACAAAAACTAAAGAGAACTTAAATAAACCTAAAATATTTTCTGAGAAACTGATGTATTAATGAATTTACTAAATATTCAGTTGAGGGGTGACTGTCAAATGATTATAATATGGTCTCTTCCTTTATGAAAGTTTGCATTAATTTAAGTTTTTAAAGACTTAATTCAATTAAAATATCATAAACTTTCAGAAATCAATTGTCAAATACCTTCATTTTACATATGAAAAAACTGAGGCCTAAGGAGATGGAGACACTTGCCCTAAATCATACCTGGGTGGCAGAACCGGAAGTTCTAGAACTGAGATTTCTTGATTACCAGTGTTCTTTAGTGCTCTATTAATAATAAAATTCACTGAGGTTTCATTTTGCAAATATTTTAATTTTACATAATTCTTAGCAACTCATCTATTGTTTAAACACAAGATACCCACCATAAGAAATAAAAATTCTATATGAACATATATCCAAATGAAAGAACCAACAAATGTGACCGTAACAGTTACATTTAAGTTCTGAGTGAACTATGAAGCTATATGCCTTTCAGAAAGTGTCAGAAGTAGACTTTATTAGAATGATCAAAAAGCCCCTTATTTTGGGACTTTGAATTGTGGGAAGCCCACCTTCTTAATTCTTCTAATCACAGCATCTAGCCATCTATTAACTCAATCACTCAGTAATTCAATGAGTACTCTTTGAGCCCCTATTATATTATGTATATAAATCATTTTTGTCTGGGATACTTTTCCCCCTAAACAGTTAAATAGTTCTTCTTTTGCCCTCTAATGTGTTCATATCTCTGTAACACTTACCATACTATAGTACAATTATATTATGTATTTACTTTTAGACTCCTTGATATCAGTGACTCATTTATCTCTTACTAATCAGATTCAGTGGTCTCATTTAACTCTTTTTCCTAATCTCTGTTGTGGAGCTTGGCACATATAGTCAAATAAATGTCTCATCACTACATAATATCTATTTTTATTTTTCCCTTGATAAGAGAGACACAGGAAAGCAAGAGATCTATGTTAGCTGAGAAGACCAGGAAAATTGGGGAGTGTGAAACACTGTTAACTAGGTCCTCACTATTGATCACTTCTTGCTGACTGCCAAGGTCAGTTCCTTTTTTTTTTTTTAAGATTTTTAAAATTTATTTATTTCAGAGAGCGAGAGAGGAGGGGGAGGAGCAGAGGGACAGACAAGCAGATGCCACACAGAGCCCGGTCCCATGACCCCAAGACAATGACCTGAGCCGAAACCAAGAACCAACTGAGCTACCCAGTACCCCATGCCAAGTTCATTTCTTAAAACAGTAATTCCCAAGTATTTCCACCCTCTTTAAGCATCACCTCGCTCCAATCCCTTATTTCCACCCAGTGGGTTTTGTTCCTACCTGAAGATTAAGATCATCCAGTGAGAGTTTCCTCATCTTAATCCTCTCCATCTCAGTATTTTCTTTCTTCTCATGTTTCTTCATATTTTCTTCTTCTTAAGGTATATTTCTCCTTCTCCTCTTCATTTAAGATCATTCTTTTTTTTTTTTTTTCCCTCGGAGTGGGGAAAGGGCAGAGGGAGAGGGAGAGAGAGAGTATTAAGCAAGCTCCACACCCATTGTGGAGTCTGATGTGGGGCTTGATCTCACAACCCTGAGATCATGACCTGAGTCAAAATCAAAAGTTGGATGAGCCACCAACTTAGGCGCCCCTAAGATCATTCTTTACTAGCTCTTATTTATCCACTTAAAAATGTATTTTGGGGGATGCCTCAGTGGCTTAGTTGTTATTCATTTGAGAGAGAGAGCAAGAGAGCAGGGGAAGGGTCAGGAAGATGACCCTTTTTTTTAACATTTGATTTATTCATTTGAGAGAGAGCAAGAGAGCAGGGGAAGGGGAAGAAAGATGTTTAAAATATGTTTAAAGAGATTTTAAAAATACAAATGAATTCCATAAGGTAAGAGTAAAACATTATGAGATAAAAAGGACAGATGAATTTGAATAAAAAAATAGAAATTTTAGACATAAAAAACATAATAATTGAAATAAGACACTTCTCAAGTGTATAGGATAAATAAACATTTAAGACCATGAATTGGGTGAACTAGATCACACGGGATAAAGAATGAGAGGCCAGGTGAGTAGGAGAAAACCCAGTGGAAAATAGTGTTAAGACAACAGAGAACAATGTTTTAAGTAAGTGGCAGAAAGATCAAGTATGACTGAAAAGTGTCATTTGGATTTGGTAATTAGGTCAGTAGTTACCTTTGCAAGAGCAGTTGCCTTGGATTGATGGTGAGGGAGACAAAAATTATGGCGTATTGAGGCATGGATGGGAGGTGAGGAATTGGATATAAGTAGGAACCTTGACTGAAATAAGGCAAGAGCTACAGGTGATAGTTGCAGGGAGGATTTTTCTTTTTTGAAATTAATGAGATTTAAGCATATTTACATGCTTTGGGAGAGGGAGGATAGGCTGGGAAAGACTGACAGAGACTTTAACTTGATAGAACTAATTTCCTGAAGAAAAAGGAGCAGAGGATGGGAACTAAAACACAACTAAAGGGATTTGCTTTTGATATCTTCTAAGGACAGCAAAGTACCATGCCAGGTATTGTTCCAAGCATTTTATTTATTTTTTATTTTTATTTTTTTTTAACATTTTATTTATTCATTTGAGAGAGAGCAAGAGAGCAGGGGAAGGGTCAGAGGGAGAGGGAGAAGCGGATTCCCTGCTGAACAGGAAGCCTGATGCAGGCGTCCCTCCCAGCACCCTGGGATCATGACCTGAACCGAAGGCAGACGCTTAACCAACTGAGCCACCCAGGCATCCCTGTTCCAAGCATTTTAGATGTGTTAACTGAACTGGATGAAGATAATGAACTTGAGAATGAAGAGTTGAAGAATGTTCATCTGAAAATCAAAATGATCTTTATGAAGATACAATTATGTACTAATAATTTGCTAAAAGAGAAGAGATGGTGCAAGGAGCTTAAAAAGTGGTGGTTTGAAGACTAGGAGAGGAAGTTGACCAGAAACATATAAAAGTATTTCTAAACAGTAATTCAAATGATTGTGTCATTTTCTCCAGCAGTGCTCAGATATACTGGTGTCAGAGCTCAGAGACAGACTATATTGACCCATGGTTGAAAGTCTGTAAGCAGACTAGGATGGAAAGACAAGAGTTCAGGAAGTTGACAGCACTGGCAGAGGGTGGTTAAGTGATGCTCACTAGGGTTAGGTTAGATATGGTAGGAAGTGAAGCCAGGAGGGGGATAATGATGGGTATGTAAAAAGAAAGTAAAAAAGTAGAAATAGAAAGATTCAAACATAAAAAGTCCATTGACTATCCCACTCCTTTCTGAGGCAGCAGTTTGCCACAACTCATTAAGGCCACCAGAAGAGTAAGTTCTGTCATCTTCAAGTTCAGGGTTTTCTCCATGTAGCAGTATAGTCTACTGACCAGCATCACTGGCATCACCTAGAAGCTTCTTAGAAATGCAGCATCCGAAGCCCCACTCCAGAAATACTGAATCAGAATCTGCTTCTTAACAGAATCTGCAAGTGATTCTTATCATATTAAATTTAAGAAGCACCGAGATAAGAGTGTAGATTCACCCTTGGTTTATGTGTGTTGGTCATGATATGCTAGGAGAAGCAACGGGCAGACATTCTGAGCTCCCAGACTCAATGAATTTATTACCTTTTTAATGTATAACTTAAATCCTTTTCCAAATGATTTGTCATCCTGCACACTAACTTGTCCCTAGTTCCATCCCACACCCCAGGTGCTCTTATATCTGAATATCACGGGTTTGCACAGGAAACCATAAGCTTCCTTTCAGCTTTAAAATTCTTTGATTTTATCATAGCCAAACATCCTCTCCATAGAAAAAAACACATGAAAATCAGTAAAACTGAAATGAAGTGAAATGAAATTTAGTCAGTGAGAAAAGTAATTCTAAGGAAAATTTTGCAATTAGTCACACACACACCCCATCTGCTCTTGGGTCAGCTTTAAAGAATGATACACTGTCTTTCCTCTCATAACATTCCAGGGTTTTGAAGTCGCTTGAACTGCTTTTTCTCCTCTCCTTTGTGCAAAACCAAACCGAAATTCTTCTAAATGAATTAAGTCACTTGGGAGTCTGAGTGGAAGCTCGAGCGAAATTTGCCTCCTCACATTAATATGGAACCAGTTTCCGAGGAGGTATTCTGGAGAGCAAGACCGGACCAGCGTCAAACTGGTCACCCAGATAACTGTTGGAAGCGTCAGTGTTAATGGAAATTTTAATATAGTTTTTTTAAAGACTAGCAGTGCTTTTTGTGATTCAGGCTTTCATCTTACACCAGGAACTGAATGTTGCCGACCTGCTAGTGATTTTTATGTGCCGGTGCTTCTAAGCGCTGTTACCTATGGGGCAACGTCTGCGGTCAAAGAGGAAGAAAAAAACCATTTGTTCCCTCTTCAAGCTAACTGGCCCAGAGGGCTGTGGATGTGCTCTATTACTGCTAGCAGAAACGAAATTGCAGAGGCCTGAGGCATTTCGAAAATGAACGGGAAGGGTTTTTAAACTGCGCAGGGAGAGATGTTTGCGACGTGACAGCGGATAGCCCCAAGCGCTGATGGCCTCCCTCTCGCGCTGGGTCAGCTCCCCACCAGTAATCGCCTCTCCCTCTCCAGGTTAACCCACCCCCCACCCATCCTCCCCCACCCCTTCCCTCCCCTCGCCTCCAAGGCTCCCGCGCCCTCCTCTTCTTTCCCTCCGCCTGCCTTTCACAGCCTTTCCCTACCCCCTTCCTTCTTTTCCTTCTCCTCGCCCCCTCCCTTTTCCCCCCTCGATCTCTCGCGCGGCCCACCCCGCTTTCTCCCTTTCTCTTTTCCCTCAGATTCGCGCTCCCACTGCAAACGCCGCCTCTCCTCTCATCTAGACGCCAAGCGGGAGGCGCAGCAGGCCGACTGCGCGCAGGCGCACTGCGCGGCGGGCACGCGGGCAGGCTGGGCGTCTGCGCAGGCGCGCGCTGCTCTGGCTTGGTTCTGGCGCTGGCCGCTAGGCGTTCTTCGGCTGATTCAGTCAGGACTTGGGGCCGCGCGCCGGCGGGGGCACCATGTTTCTTCAGTCAGTCAGTCTCTGGAACCTGGCGTTTTATGCCCTTATGGTTTTCATGGCGACCCTGGGGCTGTGGGACGTCTTCTTCGGCTTCGAGGAGAACAAGTGCAGTATGAGCTATATGTTTGAGTACCCGGAGTATCAGGTGAGGTTCGGCTGTCTCTCACCTGGGCGCTCCGAGACTCGGGCCCCTCCTGCAGGTTTCTCCCCACTTTGGCTCCCGCGCCTTTCTGGCCCCCTGTGCCAACCTCGTCTCTGTTTTTTTCGCTCCGGAAGACACTGCAGACCCCCCTCCCCCCTCCCCCTCTCCCCTTTGTGTCCTCTCAACAGTGGGGTGTCTGGTTACCTGAAGCATCCTCCCGGCCCCCCCGTAGTTCCTCCCTTGTCCCTCCTCCCCCTTCCCGGTCCCAAATCCCAGGTACAGATTCTTTTGACTGCACGGGCCCACCCCCACCCCCCATTCCTAGAGACGCAACTTCAGACGCTCTCCCTAAACCCAAACCACATTTTCCCTGCGTTCTTGTCTTAACAGGTGCCCCTGGACCCTCCTTTGCTTTCCACGCGCCTAAATTCTCACCATCCCGCGCAGTGATTTGCACGTCAGCTTTCGCCTTGCTAGAAAGGGTCTGAGCTGCTGCAGAGGGTGTAATGGCTAGATCCCAAGACTGCCTTTGCGACTCCAGGGTTTTACTCCTGTGTGAAAGGTTAAACCTGATTAAGTAATTAAATGGAAAACTATTGAGTTTTCTTCCTGTAAAGTTGGCGGAGCCTCCGGTTTTGTAGGTTATGGGTCCATGCGTGTACATACAAGCCTGTGTTTATGCATGTCGTCTCTTAGCAGTTGGACATAAAATCTATTTCATAGTGGTTTTGTTTTCTCACTGTTTGCAATTTACGAGAGACCCGGCCTTCCTGGCGCGCGTACTCGCGCTCTGCCCCCCACCTCTTCAGTTCCCCATTTTGAGTATTTTCAATCACAGTTGCTTCCTCAGGTCAACATAGTAGAATCTGTCATTTCAGTCATGACCAGCTGTGGTGATAAATTACACAGCTGTCCAAAGAAATTTCTCCTGAATGATTCTTTTATTTCTAAACGCATCTCCCAATTATGGAATACATGGTACAATGGTAACTCCCTACCATAAAAAGCATATGTACTATAATATATGACTGATGAAACGCATTTTAAGTATACTTTTAAAACCATAGCAGATTTTTTTTTTAAGGTGAAGAATGCAGATCGTGATTGCCTCTGTACGGGTCGTTATGGAGGAGCATATTACTTGGTTAATGCTATTATTTAGATCCTAAAACTACCTAAGGTTTAGATTGCTGAAGAACATCTTTTCCCCATGGGCAAAATTCTAGTTTAGTTTTCATTTGTTTTGAGATCCTTATCTTGGTTTTGCATCAATAAGCAAAAAATGCTTATAAGGGAGTGGAAAAACTTGGTATCAAATACTATTGAAGGAGATTTTAACGTGTTACTGTTGTCTCAGTTTCTAAGCACATATCCTGGTTTATGTTTATCAGAGACTATGCTAGTTAAGTATGGACTTTTAGTTTAGTTTTTTTTTTTTTTAACTGAAAATAGAGCCCTTATAATCTTTAATTTTTCTGTGGTTTAATAATTGGGAAACTCTCAACAGGTTGAAGTAGATCACTTTAGTTTTGTATTGCGTTGAAGAGTTTGATTAAAACAAAATTATCTGGAACAATACAGAACTAATTCGCATTTATTTTGAGATTGTCCACAATTATTGAAGCTATTTTAATATCTGCAGTAGTGGAAATTGCTTAGTGTTGAGAACAAAGCGTACGGACTCAGAGATCCATTTCTTGCCTCATAAAGTTAACTGGAAAGACAGAAAGTTAGCTAGTGCAAAAGAGCTATTTGGCCTTTTTTTTTTTTTTTTGTCGAGTGGTCTGTATTTAGTTATTTTGATTTAGATTCCCTTTTTGAGGTTTTACACTTCCATTACTGTTAATAATTTTGTCAGTACAGTAATAATTACAGCAGCCAGAGTTTCTGATACACATTTTCAGTAGACTTTTATTTTTTTATGATGTGAAAAGCTGTGTTAATTAACTTCAGTATTTATATTTGATTCTTAGACCTTTTGTTGTGCACACCAGGTCGTGTTATTTTAGAAATACAGTTAAAACCTGTCTATAGAAATGAGTCATTATGAAGTATAGTGAGATTTCTGAATAATAATAATTCTATTAAGAACCAGTGGTTTTTAATGAATATATATCTAAATATATTTTACATGAATTGTTTATTTTTAGTTATATTTTATAGTAAGCTTTCTAATTGTTTGCAGATTGATGTCCAGCATTTGAGATGACATAGTCGTTGGGTTTTCTCCTTCTTGACACTTTTTTTTATTGCTAATTTGCATATTCTTTAGCCAAATTTTAGAGGAAATGAAAGGTAGTTGAAACACACTCAACTTTATTCTCCATTTTAAAAAATTAAAGGTGGGACAGGAATTTGAACCTATATGTAAAAATGAAGTGTTGAATTTAAAATTGTTTGAGTAGGGGGGCGCCTGGGTGGCTCAGTCGTTAAGCGTCTGCCTTCGGCTCAGGTCGTGGTCCCAGGGTCCTGGGATCGAGCCCCGCATCGGGCTCCCTGCTCCGCGGGAAGCCTGCTTCTCCCTCTCCCACCCCTCTGCTTGTGTTCCCTCTCTCGCTGTGTCTTTCTCTGTCAAATAAATAAATAAAATCTTAAAAATAAATAAATAAAATAAAATAAAATTGTTTGAGTAGGGGTGCCTGGGTGGCTCAGTTTGTTAACTCTCTGCCTTCACCTCAGGTGGTGATCCCAGAGTCCTGGGATCAGAGCCCCTGTGTTGGGCTTCCTGCTCAGCAGGGAGTTTGATCCTCTCTCTCTCTCCCCCCGACCCCCCCGTCCCTCTCCCCACGGTTCGTTCTCTCTCTCTCTCTCTCAAACAAATAAATAAAATATTTAAAAAATACAAAAAAAATTGAGTATTCATTTTCTACCTTTGGTTTTCCAAAATTTGCTTGTTCAGAGTTAACTGAACATCTCACAAACCTACCAGGAAAAATACACATTATCTTTTAAAGCTTTTGCTTTATTATGATAGCAAGGCAAAGCTTTTGTTTGGTAGCAAACAGTTTTAGGCAGATTGTAAAATTGGGGAAGAAACATCTGTGTTGTTTTCTCCCATTCAGTAATTTATTTGGCTGTGCTCAGATATGTGACCTAACAGTTGTTGTCTGAAAGAAAATGTTGATATTGGAAAATATGCATTATACTTTTGTTATTGTGATGTTTGCTTAGCAAATAGTTTATTGAATAACTCTGTCAGGTATATTCTAGATACTGGGTATGGGTGAGAGGGAATTAGAGATGAATCAGACCTTGTGCCTTTATGTCTTTGTAATTTTTATGTCTTTTATAATACAATGGGGGAGACAGGAATGCCATGGACAGTTAAAATATAATGTGCTGGGTGATAGACATTGGAGAGGGTATGTGCTATGGTGAGTGCTGTGAATTGTGTAAGACTGTTGAATCACAGACCTGTACCTCTGAAACAAATAATACATTATATGTTTAAAAAAAAAAAAAGATAGCGGGAAGGGAAGAATGAAGGGGGGGAAATTGGAGGGGAGATGAACCATGAGAGACTATGGACTCTGAGACACAAACTGAGGGTCCTAGAGGGGAGGGGGGTGGGAGGATGGGTTGGCCTGGTGATGGGTATTAAAGAGGGCACGTACTGCATGGAGCACTGGGTGTTATACGCAAACAATGAATCATGGAACACTGCATCAAAAACTAATGATGTAATGTATGGTGATTAACATAACAATAAAAATACATATAATGTGCTAAATGATAATTTCACTATAAGAGTGCATATGAGGGTCTTCACAGAAGAGAGCATCCAAGTTCATTTTCAGTAGTCAAAGGCTGCAGAGAAGTTGTGGTTAATTAGAGGGCACATATATATAGTTCATGAAGTGCAGAAACAAGAAAACTGCAGGAATAAAGAATAGCATTTGTGAAGGTGGGAAGGCACCAGGACACATTGTATAAGCAGTATGGATAGTATATAAACTGCTAACATTGGTTGCCTTCTGGGTAAGGAATTAGATGGCTGAAGGACCAGGAGTAGGAGAGAGCCTTTTCATTGTATATCCTTTGCGTCTTGAATTTGAAGCATATTAAAAATTTTAAAACGTGGCATGTGTAAGTTATAAGAACAGTAAGAATAATTAGAGACAGATTTTAGAGGGTCTCTCTCAGGCCTTTATCATCTATTAATATAATCAGGAAACACAGGAGGTGTATGTTTTAACACGGTATTTATTGTTTTATTTTATTTTTTAAAAAATTTTATTTGCGCGGTGGTGTGGAGTGGGGTGGGGCGGAGGGGCAAGAGGGAAAGGGAGAATCTTAAGCAGGCTTCACACCCAGCCTGGAGGCCAACTCAGGGCTCGCTCTCACGACCCTGAGAATCCTGACCAGAGTCAGATGCTTAATTGACTGAGCCACGAAGGTACCCCACAAGGTATTTCTTGACAGCAGTATGCACTATGGATTGGAGCAAGGAGGTTATGACAGGAAGAAAGACTAGTCTGAAAGATTCACCTCTCCCTAGGTCTTTTTATTAAGCTGGAGTTATTAGGTGTGAGATGGGCAAAGGGCTGAGAGTTCTTTGTAAGATCTTTATTCATTTTGATCAAAATTTCCTTTTTCTTTTTTATTAATTATGGAGCTCAAATTTTAATTTTCCAGTTTTAATTCACAAGTAAAAGGTACATATAAAATAAAGACATTAGTTTCTTGAATCAGTATTTTTCTAGCACTTGGGAACTTGTTAGAATTTTTGTCTTTTGAAAGAGTTCCCTCTCTTTGCTGTGTCTCTGTCAAATAAATAAAATCTTAAAAAAAAGAAAGAAAGGGTTCTAGGTTAGAGATTAGAAGGACCTGTAGAGTCAAGAGAGGATGAACAGCAGGGGCAGGATTGTGGAGATAGTATTTAGGTATAAAGGTAATTTGATTTTGATTAAAGGTCTATTTTGGGGAGGGGTGCTCATTTAAAATAATCTAGATAAAATAATTTAAAATATATGGGAGTCTTGTTGCTATAAAAGTTTTCTTTTTAAATCCCTTGACCCTCTTCTTTTTGTTCATCAGCATCCTTTCATATGCCTATACTTTTTTCTATCTTCAATCTGGTCAAAGCCCTTCTTGTTTCTTCCTGCCACTCCCAACTTGTACTCTGGAATGCAGTTTTGCCATTTGCTAATAGTTTCCTATTCTTCTTCTTCTTTTTTTTTTAAGATTTTATTTATTTGACAGAGAGAGACACAGTGAGAGAGGGAACACAAGCAGGGGGAGTGGGAGAGGGAGAAGCAGGCTTCCCGCGGAGCAGGGAGCCCAACGCGGGGCTCGATCCCAGGACCCTGGGATCATGACCTGAGCTGAAGGCAGACGCTTACCGACTGAGACACCCAGGTGCCCCTAGTTTCCTATTCTTCTGAGTTAATTTTCAACTAGTTCAAAATTTTGCTTAGCTAATGTACTAAAAAGAATGATCTAATACTCATGTACTGTCATATCCAAAGGTATACTAAATTGGGAGGAGTTAAGAGTAATGGTATACTTGTTCTCACATGTTTTCTTTTTGCTTAATATGTACTTAAAATATTGCATCATTTTCATTTTTGATTATATATTGTGCATGGTCAATATTGGGACAAATTTGAGTTGAAGTCCATATATGTGATATATGTGTGTGTGTGTATATATATATATGTATATATGTATATTTATATATAGCAAATCATGGGATTGGTATTTCTGCATTTTGAGTATTTGAGGAGATAAAATTGCTACTATCTTAAACAGTAAGCTCACAGTCTCTAAAGATGTTTTCAGTTCTTATTAACACAGATTGTTTATGGTAATATTTTTTAAAAAAATATTCAGGAATGTGCATGAGTGATCAGAATTCTGCTTTTTAGAACAGTGAGGTTTTTCAGTGTTATTACCATATACAGACTTTAAAATTCATTCAGTACTTAAAATTTTTATCAAGCACATGTATAGCACTACTAGATCATTAAATCTATTGATGTCTACTTAAATAAAATCTGTTCAATGTAACTGGCTTCATTTTTAATGGTTTCTATAGTTTAAAAAAGGAGCAGAAGAAGGGCTTATATTTTACCATCACTTTTATACATGCCTACCTTTTGGGGATGACATTAAGACCTAATTTATATTTTTTTGAAAAAAAATGTATCAATTACTGGCTCATTTGTTATAATATGAATTGCAGAGTAAGGTTCAGATTAATTTGTGAAGCACATTGCAGGTCAAGGCGTATTAAATTGAGATGTCAGAAAGCTTACTTTCCTCTGAATGATATAACAACTGGACTATATAGTTGGGCCTAAGTACAAGGAGAAGCATTACAAACCAGTTTAAAATAGCAAAAAAGAATTGATTTGATAATGGAAAGCCTTTATCATTTTTTTTTTAAAGATTTTATTTATTTATTTGACAGAGAGAGACACAGTGAGAGAGGAAACACAAGCAGGGGGAGTGGGAGAGGGAGAAGCAGGCTTCCCACGGAGCAGGGAGCCCGATGTGGGGCTCAATCCCAGGTCCCTGGGATTATGACCCGAGCCAAAGGCAGATGCTTAATAACTGAGCCACCCAGGCGCCCCTGCCTTTATCATTTCTAAGTATAACTGATACTGATACTATATTAAGTACATTTCCAATTATATTAACAAGTAATTTGCTGACATACCCCAGTGTTTTTCTTTTGTCAGTGGCTATTTTGAGTAATTTGTATTCGTTAGAATTTCAGGTAGTTCCATTTTATACATTCCTGAAGACTGCATGGTTCAAAACTCACATGATTCAAAATGACTTCTACATATGAATAAACTAAAAGTAAAACTTATTTTGGGCATTAAGTGCAGTTTTATCATCAGTAATACTTTTATACTGTTTCAAATGTGTGTAATTCAGAACTGGGCGCAGTAGACTGAATTGTATTAATACAACTGATTAAAGTGAAATTGCCTCTTTTTTTTTTTTTTTTTTTGCTGCAGAAAATAGAACTTCCAAAGAAACTGGCAAAACGCTATCCTGCATATGAATTATATCTTTATGGAGAAGGATCCTATGCTGAAGAACACAAAATTCTCCCTTTGACTGGTATTCCAGTTCTCTTTCTTCCTGGTAATGCTGGAAGTTATAAGCAAGGTAAGTCTTGGAAGTAAATTTTGAAAGCTGTAAAATTCAATCGAAGAATTTATCAGATACATACTCTGTGTTAAGTACTGTGCTAGGCATACTGGGAGACACAAATATTTGACATTTTGTCTGAGAGAAAAAAATGAGTACCAAGAATAGTTGAAGACCACTTAGAAAAGAGTAAGATGGAGAAAAAGAACGGGATTGAGTAGGTAGGATAAATGATATAGGGATTCAGGAATCAGCAGAAGAAAGGTTTATGCTGGAAATGGAAGGTACAGGAAACATAACAGAATACTGATTAGAGAAGTAAATTAGTATATGTTTTGCCAAACAAGAGAAAAGATTGGTTTCTTTCTTTTGGAGCTATTTAAATTAGATCTAGAAATACTGATGGGAACACAGAAAGGTGAAGATAGGGAACCTTTATGTATAGATTCCAAATTGAATGTTGGCCTGGAGATAAAAGCAGTTATTTCTGGCATGACAATCAAGTAATCTGGAAGTAATTTCATTTAAAAAGTGCTTTTCGGTTATTAACTGGCATATTCTTTTATATAATAAGAATAGAGTTCTTTCAGGGATGCCTGGGTGGCTTAGTCGGTTAAGCATCTGCCTTGGGCTCAGGTCATGGTCCCAGGATCCTAGGATTGAGTCCTGCATTGGGCTCCTTGCTCAGTGGGGACCTGCTTCTCCCTCTGCCTGCTGCTCCCCCCGCTTGTGCATGCACTCTCTCTCTCTCTCTCTCTCTGACAAATAAAATCTTAAAAAAAAAAAAAAGAATTCTTTCAACTTTTAGTGTAATTACTTACATATTATGTATTTATCTAGTTAATATTTGTGTTTTAGGTATTAGGGATCCAAAACAGACCAAGATAGATAAAATCCCTCCCCTTTGTTAAACTTATATTCTTGTTGGAAAGACAGCCATCAAATAAATATATCAGTAATATTAAAAGTTAGAAAAATAAAACAGAGTGAGGGAGAAAGGAGAAATAGGGTCAGGAGGTGGCTAGTTTAGTTGAAGTGGCTAGGAAAGGCCAGGATGAGGAGCTAACATTTGCGCAGAGGCTTGAATATAGCAAGAGACTGAGGTATGTGACTATTTGAGGAAAGACCCTAAGGTAGGAACATGCTTAGTACATTCAAGGCCACAAAACCTAGAGAAAGTGGCAAGAAATAAGGATGGAAAAGTAGCTTCAGGCTATATCATATAAGCTGTGGAAAAGACTGAATTTTGATCCAAGTGTGTAGGGAAACTGTTAAGAGTTTTTTGGGTAGGAAATGATATAATCCAATCTTTTTGTCAGTTGTTAATTGTTTGAAATATAACACATATACAGAGAAATGTGTAGAATATAGATATTCAATTAAAAATTATTATAAAGTGAATACTCATATAGCCAAAATCTAAGTCAAGAAGTAGAAGATTACCAGTCCTGTGGAAATGCCCTGTATGCTCCTTCCTGATAAAACTTTCTCCCCTCTTTCTAGATGTAACCACAATCCTAACTTAAAGGTAGTAAATTTCCTTGACTTTTATTAAGTATCTAAATGTGTATCTCTAATACAATCCACTTTTGGGGGGTTATTTTTAAACTTCGTAACATAAACATAATTATTCAGTAGGTATTCTTTGGTGTCTGGCTTCTTCCACTCAGCGTTTTAAAAATTCATCCAAGTTTGGGATGCCTGGGTGGCTCAGTTGGTAAGTGTCTGCCTTTGGCTTGGGTCATGATCCCAGGGTCCTGGGATTGAGTCCCACATAGGGCTTCCTGCTTAGCAGGGAGTCTGCTTCTCCCTCTGCCCCTCCCTCTCCTCGTTCTTTCTCTCTTTCTCTCTCTAATAAATAAAATCTTTAAAAAAAATTCATCCAAGTTTGTTTATTTTTTTCATTCTTTGTTATCCCATTATATGACTATACCATAGTTTAAATATTCTGTCTTTGGACACTTGTGTAATTTATATTTACTGGCAATTACAAGTAAAGAACATTTTTCTTACTTTGGATCACATAAGCCCATGTTTCTGTAAGATGTATGCCATAACATTATTCCATGTCACAGGTTATATGTATCCTTCTATTTTTACTGGTTGTGCTACCTTATACTCCCAGAAATACTACGTTATACTTCCCTTTGCTCCACATCCTTGACAACATTGGAATTGTCAGATTTTTAAATTCTATACAGTATGGTAGGTGTGATTTATTTTTAAAAAATGATTACTCTGGCTTTGCTGTGTAGAGAATATGCTGTAAAGGGGCAAGAGTGGTGAAGGAAAGATAACATTATTAATCATCAGGGAAATGCAAATCAAAACTATAAGGATAGATATCATTTCATACCCACCAGGGTAGCTATAATCTAAAAGATAATAGCAAGTGTCACTGAGTATGTGAAGAAATTGAAACCCTCATCCATTGCTGGTGGGAATATAAAATGGTAGAGCCACTTTGGAAAAACAGTTTGGCAGTTCTTCAGAATGTTAAACATAGAGTTTTATGCTTAGCAGTTCCACTATAGGTATCTACCCAAGAAAAATGAAAATGTACATTCACACAAAAACTTGTTTACAAATGTTCATAGCAACACTATTCAAAATAACTAAAATGTAGAAACAACCCAACATTAACTAAAGAATGGATAAATAAACTATATCCATATAATGGAATATTATTCTGCAATAAGAAGGAATGAACCATAAAAGAAAAAAATTACAGGCCAATATCCTTGATGAACATAGATGCAGAAATCCTTAGCAAAGTATTAGCAAACCAAATCCAACAATACATGATCAGGTGGGATTTATTCCAGAGATGCAAGGAGGTTCAGCATCCACAAATGAATCAACATGATACAATTACATTAATACAATGAAAGATAAAAATCATATGATCATCTCAATAGATGTAGCCAAAGCATTCAATGACATTCAGTATTCATTTATGATAAAAATTCAACAAAGTGGGTATAGAGGGAATGTACCTCAACATAATAAAGGCCATATATGACAGTCCTACAGCTAATATCATGCTCAATGGTGAAAAGCTGAAAGCTTTTCCTCTAATTTCAGGAACAAGACAAGGATGCCCACTCTCACCACTTTTATTCAACATAGTATTGGAAGTCCTAGCCACAGCAGTAAGGCAAGAAAAATTTTTAAAAAGCCACCCAAATTGGAAAGGAAGAAGTAAAATAAGTCACTATTTGCAGATGACATATATAGAAAACCCTTAAGACTCCACAAAAGGCTGTTAGAATTAATAAATGAGTTTAGTAAAATGCAGGATACAAAATCAATATACAGAAATCTGTGGTGTTTCTGTATACTAATAACAAGAAATTAAGAAAACCCATTTACAATTGCATTGAAAAGAGTAAATAAATACCTAAGAATAAATTTAACAAAGGAGGTGAAAGCTCTCTACACTGAAAACTATAAGACACTGATGAAAGAAATAAAAAAAAATAAATGGAAAGATATTCTGTGCTTATGGATTGGAAACATTAACGTTGTTAAAATGTTCATACTGCCAAAAGCCACTACAGATTCTGTGTAACACCTATCAAAATTCCAATGGAATACTTCATAGAACTAGAACAAATAATTCTAAAATTTGTATGGAACCACAGAAGATCCCAAATAGCTGGAGCAATCTTGAGAAAGAACAAAGCTGGAAATATCACACTCCCTGATTTCAAACTGTACTACAGAGCTGCAGTAATCAAAACAGTGCAGTATTAGTAAAAAAAAAAAAACCCAAAAAACCAAACAAACAAAAAACAAAAAACCACACACAGATCAGTGGAAGAGAATTGAGAGCCCAGAAGTAAACCCATACATATATGGTCAGTTTATCTCTGATAAAAGAGCCAAGAACATAGAGTGGAGAAAGGACAGTCTCTTCAATAAATGGTGTTGGGAAAACTGGACAGCCACAAGCAAACGAATGAAACTAGGCCACTGTCTTCCACCATACACAAAAATTAACACAAAATAGATTAAAGACTTGTATATAAGACCTGAGTCCTTATAATTGCTAGAAGAAAATATAGGCAGCAAGCTCCTTGATATCAGTCTTAGCAACATCTTCGTGGATCTTGCTCCAAAGCAAGGGAAACAAAAGTAAAAATAAGTAAATGGGACTACATCAAACTAAAAAGCTTCTGCATAGCAAAGGAAACCATTAAAATGAAAAGGCAGTTTACTCAATAGGAGAAGATATTTGTAAACCATATATACAATAGGAGGTTAATATCCAAAATGTGTTAAGAACTTATATAACTCAACAAAAAATAACCCAATTGAAAAATAGATGTAGGATCTGAATAGACATTACTCGAAAGAAGACATACAGGTCACTAGCAGGCATGAAAAGATACTCAGTATCACTAATTATTAGGGAAATGCAAATCAAAACTACATATCACCTCATTCTTGTCAGACTACTACTGACAAGTATCTACTACTATCAGACAAATAACAGGAATGAAATCTTGCCATTTGCAATAACATGGATGGACCTTCAGAGTATTATGCTAAGTGAAATGAATCAGGCCGAAAAAGACGAATACCATATGATTTCACTGAAATGTGGAATTTTAAAAAAATAAAAAAATAAAAAATAAAACAAACTCAGATAAAGAGAACAGACTGGTGGTTACCAGAGGGTAAGGGGGTTGGGAGTGAGCAAAGGGGGCCAGTTGTATGTGATGGATGGTAAATAGATTTGTGGTGATGATCACTTTGTAATGTATACAGGTGTTGAATTATAAAACTGCACACCTGAAGCTTATATAGTAAAAAGGAATTAATTAACTGATAACATGAATTACATGGTACAATGTGCATAAACCTTGAAAACATTATAAAAGTGAAAGAAGCCAGTCATAAAAACCCATGTATATGATCCTGTTTATAGAAATGTCCAGAATAGGCAAATTCATAGGGACAGAAAGTAAATTAGTACTTTCCAGGATTGGGAGGAGAAGAGGAATAAGAAATGACTGCTAATCAGTACAGGGTTTTCTTTTTGGGGTAATTAAAAAATATCTAAAGTTAGATTAGTAGAATTTTGTGAATATACTAAAAATCATTCAATTGTACTTTTTACATAATAAGTTGTATAGTATGTGAATTGTGTATGTTAAAAAAATGGAATGGCAAGTAGGTATTTTGTTTGCTAACCCATACACTTCAGCTTTTAATGCCAATTAATGCAATCAATTCACAAATTCTGTGGAAGGGTTTACAGAGCAAAACCTAACACAGTGTGGAAGCAGGTAGACCAGTGAGGAAACCATTAGAATAGTTAAGGCAAGAGATGATGGTGCTTAGATTAGGAAGACAGTGGTGGAAATGGTGAGAAGTGTTGATTGGGGATATATTTAGAAAGTAGAGGATGATAGGATTTACTGATGGATTGGATGTCATGTGTAAGAAAAAGACAAATCAAGCATAAGTATCTAAACCAAGTGATGAGCATATTATTTCTTGTAGGAATTTTCTCATTCTTAAAATCCCCAAGTGTGACTTATTCATACAGATGGCTAACATTTCTTATTCTTCAAAGTATTCTTCCCCTCCCTTTTAGTTATTTTTCCTAATCAAGTGGAAGCAGGTAAAGAATGAATGACCTGTTTACTTTTTATTTAATTTAAATTTAAAAAACAGGGCACAAGACATATAATACAAACAATGGTTTGTTCTTCTAAATTGATAGAATTGAAGGATGTCACCCTAAGTAGGTTGTTTATATTCAGAGTGTGGGATAAAGTTATTTGTTAAGAGACTTTGAAGCAAGAATGGTTGCAACTTTAAAAATTTTGTTTAATGTACAGTTTGCACTTTCCTCTACAGTTCGTTCGATTGGTTCTATTGCACTTAGAAAAGCAGAAGACATTGACTTCAAGTACCACTTTGACTTCTTTAGTGTGAATTTCAATGAAGAACTGGTGGCACTGTATGGTGGAAGTCTTCAGAAACAGACGAAGTTTGTACATGAATGCATTAAAACAATTCTCAAACTCTATAAGGTAAGAGATAGGCATGCAAATCAATAGTGATCACCTATTAGCATTTTTTAAGGGATTCAACATATTTTAAGTCATTTATTTGTTTATATGGAAGTTGAAGTGAAGATGACACAAAGGGTTTGTTTTGTTTGTGTGTGTGTGGAGGGGGGGAGTCTTGTTTTGAGCTCAGTGGTTTTTGAAGTTTAAATTGAATTTATAAGAAACCTCTCGTGAATTTAGGGGAAAAACTTATTTTAACTTCATAAATTAGAAGTGCATTGAATTTCCTAAAGACCATTAGTATGGATCAAGCCCCATGTTGGGCTCCCTGATCAGTGGGGAACCTACTTCTCCCTCTCTCTCTGCCCCTCCGCCTGCTCATGCTTTCTCTCAAATAAATAAAATCCTTAAAAAAAATGTTGGATTATTGTTTTTGAACCTTGTTCTTTTCTAATGTAAGCATTTAAGACTACAGTATTTCTTCTAACCACTACTTTAGTCTTACAAATTCTGATGTGTTTTTGTTTTCATTTTTTTTTTAAGTTTTTATTTAAATTTTAGTTAACATATGGAATGATATTGGTGTCAGTAGAATCTAGTGATTCATCACTTACATATATACCCAGTGCTCTTTTATTTCCCTCTGTCTACTAATGACAAAAATGAACTACTGGGATGTCATCAAGATAAAAAGCTTCTGCACAGTGAAGGAAACAAAACTAAAAAGCCATCTATGGAATGGGAGAAGATATTTGCAAATGACATATCTGATAAAGGGTTAGGATCCAAAATCTATAAAGAATTTATCAAATTCAATACCCTAAAAAATAATCCAGATAAGAATGGGCAGAAGACATGAACAGACATTTTTCCAAAGAAGACATAGATGGTTTTGTTTTAGACAGGTTTGATTTGAGATGCACTTTAGACATCCCAAGTGTAGTTGGTATGCAATTGGAGTTTAAGGTGACAGCTTAAGAGAAGAGGTCCAGTCTGGAGATGATAACTTGAGGGTTGACAGGATATAGATATATTTAAAGCCATGAGACTGTATGTGATAATTATGGAGTCAAGATGTGAAAGAAGAGGCTGAAGGACTGAGGCCTGAGTTACTCCCATATTAAGAGATAAGGAGAGATGAGAAGGAAACAGCAAGAAACTAGAAATAAGCAGCCAGTAGGTAAGAGGAGAACCAGGAGAATTATGTCAAGGAAACCAATTAAATCATTTCAAAGAGGAAGAAGTAATCTATGTCAAATCCTGCTGATAGTTCAAGTACGATGAGGATTGAGAATTGGCAAGTAGATTCCTTGGTGACTTGATAACAGTTTTGGAGGCGTGTTGAGGTGAAAGCCTAACTGGAATGAGTTTAAGAGTATAGAAGTTGAGAAATTGGAGACGGCAAGTACTGCATAGGCAGTTGTTTTGATGAGTTTTGCTATAGATATGTAGAGAAAGATGTGGTCACTAAGGGCAAAATGGGAGTAGAGTTTCTTTTTCAAGGGAAAATAGTATTGTATTTATATACTAGCAAGAATGATCTAATAGGGAGAAATAGTGCAAGAAAAAAGTGAGAAGAATTGCTGGAGTGATGTACTTGAGAAGACCAAAGGGGATAGATTTCAGAGCACATATGGAGAGTTTGGCTTTATCTAAGATCAGGTCTGTGTTGGAGATCATCAAGACCATTCCCAGGCTTGATGATTGTCCAGAAAGACTCACAGGACTCAGCATATAGTTGTACTCATGGTTATGGTTTATTACAGTGAAAGGATATAAAGCAAAATCAGCGAAGAAAAGGTGCATGGGGTGGGGTGCCCGACCAACTCAGTTGGTAGAGCATGTGACTCTTGATCTCAGGTTGTGAGTTCAAGCCCCACATTGGGTGTAGAGATTACTCAAAAATAAAATCTTTAAAAAAAAAAAAAAAAAAAGGAAAAGAAAAGGTAGATGGGTGAAGTCCAGAGGAAACCAGGTGTAAGCTTCTAAATATCCTTTCAGGGGAGTCACACCAGATACATTTAATTCTGATAGCAATGAATTATGATGTGTGAAGTGTTGTCTATGAGTATGTCATGAGAAATTCAGTGCCCAAATTTTTTTACTGGGGGCTGGTCACGTAGACACCCTGTGCCTAGCATGTACCGAAATCCCTGCCAGAAGGACAGCAGGTGTTCAGCATAAACAATATTTTCTGCAAAAACAGATTCATTTTTAACATTGAGGAAATGATGGGAATATCCCAGGATCTAAGGTCTCCGACTACAGCCCAGAGCCAACTTACATGCAGTCCATTATAAGGATAGCAGTCTCAGGCTTACTATGTTAACTCTTTTCTGCATAAGGTCCTATTTATTCATAGTAACAGGAGAGAAGGCATAGATGAAGGATCAGTGTGGAGAGCGATAAGCCAAAGTTTGGTAATGGAACTGAGGATACTATATGGAGACAGAAAGGATTTTTTAAAAAGCAATGCTTATTTTAAAAACATGTAATTGTCGGGGTGCCTGGGTGGCTCAGTCGTTAAGTGTCTGCCTTTGGTTCAGGTCATGATCCCAGGGTCCTGGGATCGAGCCCCACATCAGGCTCCCTGCTCCACAGGAAGCCTGCTTCTCCCTCTCCCACTCCCCCTGCTTGAGGGATCTCTCCCTGTGTCTCTTTCTGTCAAATAAATAAATAAAATCTTTAATAAAAAAAGAAATAAAAATATGTAATTGTCAGTGAATAAATGTTATGGAATGCTGGTTTCTTTTTAAACCCAGGTGCATAATAGAGAAGTAACTTGGTAAGATATATCAGTATGATGAGACACTATATTGCTATGGTAACCATAATTGTTCCAAATTTTTGTGATGATTTCAATTTTAAATAAATGATCTTCTTATATCCTATAAAATCTAATATTCTGGTATACACCAAATATAATTACAACTCTTGTATCCAATATAGCAAATGGTAAGACATGATCTACTAGACCAGGTGTTCTGATTTGGGTTCAGAAAACCAAAGCGTAGCTATTAAAAATATTTGGCAGAATACAAAATGGTATGTATATACTAATTACAAGTAAATGAAAATGTATTTCTGTATCTTATGCAAAGTTATATAAATAGTTTAATTTTCTTTCTCCTATAAAATTGCTTATAGGTAGAGGAAAGTGTTTAGTATTTTTGTTATGATACTAAGACTTCATTATGCCTTGGTGATTTTTTTTTTTTAAATAGGGTCAAGAATTTGCTCCAAAAAGTGTGGCAATAATTGGTCATTCTATGGGTGGCCTTGTTGCAAGAGCATTGCTTACATTGAAAAATTTTAAACAAGATCTGATAAATCTTCTTATCACACAAGCCACCCCTCATGTTGCTCCTGTGATGCCATTAGATCGTTTTATAACAGGTAAATATTATTACATAAACACTAACTGACCTCCCCATTGCTGTTTAAGATTAAACAGATCCTTGCACCTACTTTCTTTGAGAGTGTGCAGCTCAGTTTCAAATTAACACCTCCATTTCTGAGCATCTTTCTTTGTGACTTTCAACTTAGGCTAATAATTGAAACTGCTGTTAGTTTTCTCTGTCCATAGCATCTTACCATGGAGAGCATGTGTCTTATAATCCCTAGACACTTGGGAATCAGTTTAATTACTCTTGGGGATAACTCTCTGTCTCTTAAAGTATGTTTAAATGCCCTATGTTTTGTTAACTCTTCCAGTACTTTATTCAAAATAAGCTTATATTTAAGTAAAACAGTAGAAATGCCTTGTTTTAAATAAATAGATCTGTTAATGCTTTATATGGTGAGAAAGAATTGCTAATATTTATTAGTGTATTTTGGGTGTTGTATTAAGAACTTTACATGATGTATGATTATTTCACTTGATGCTTAGAGCATCATTATTATTTGCATGTTTAAAGAAAGTCAAGTATTATCTTCACTGTTTATTGAAATATTGTATGATAGAAGAAATATTGTATGATAGAAGAAAGTCTTTGAAATCAAAGAATTTTTTCCTGATCAGTAAATTTACACCACTTCTTACCCTATCAAAATTTGCATCATCTTAGTTTTGATGAAAATGAGAAATATACCTTATTGACTCCAAACCAAAGCACCCATTTTAACATAACATTGCCAAGGAGTAATTTATTTGCTGGAATATATACTGCAACAGTACCTAGAGTTAAGTTTCATTTTTTTCCTTATTACATTTAAAACTGCCTGTAGAAATCTTTCAGTAACAATTTTTAATTTTAGTGAAGTTGCTTAAATTTGCTTTACTAATTCTAATAATTACAAATGACCTGTAGGTTTAGAAAAAAAAAAGGCATAGACAAGTCATAATACTTGTCAACACAGTCGAGAAGTTTTTTTATTACATTTTATATGGATGAGCCATGTATGTTAAATTAGAATTACTCAGAATATATCTTTAAAAACTTTGAGGAAAGAGCTTTCAAAAGAGTCTGATTTTATTGTTTTTGAAGGATAGCGATGGTCTGTCTCTAAAATGTTCAGGCTGAAAGTAATTCTTAGGGTCAGGGTGCCTTTCTAGTAATCAGCAAGCCTCTTTCTTATTTATTCTGTATTTATTTCATATTTCATTAAGCCAGAATTAGAATGAAAAAAACCCCAAAAGTTCAAGGGGTGGCAGATCTTAGGTTTTTAGGAGACCTATATGACCTTCAGAAGTCCATTCCCTGTTTATACTTGATGGAAATACTGCCCTTTAATAGGGGGAAGGAAGCTGTGCACTGGGCTCCCCACTTTAGAGGGCTCTGCTCTGGCACTGCCATTCTCCACAAGGTGAGGAGTATATAGACCAAGCAGCCTCCCCACTTGCAGGCTGTGCCTTTACCTCTGGATGATGATCTAGGTAACCAGGCCTTCAGACTTTTCTACCATGGCCTGTGTGGGCTTCTTACCTGAATCTGACCTAAGGGCAGGTATGTAAGTAAGCTTGAGTTGTGGCTAAGGAATGGCTCTGCATGAGGTACCGATAGAGCTTGGATATCCTGCATCCTTATAATGCAGGATGAAATTGGAATGGGAAGAAGAGATTAGAGTTCAGTTATGGGTCAGAGATCTGCCCTCCCTGTGCTGCTCTAATCTAGTGTCCATCTCTGAGGTGTCAAATTTTGTAATTTGAACTTGGCCTTCCAGGTTATTGCAATGATATATTTGTCAAGGTAGGCAGAGAAAATATATTTGATTTAACAGTTTGTTAGCTGGAATTTTTACTTTTAAATATTTAGACATAAAGCCATGTGTACCCCATTGGTACTCTTGTCCCGTGACCTGCGGATGTTAGGAATGGGTCTCCTTAATCACATTCTAAGTAAATACTGTGGAGATCTTCAATGGGAGGAGTTTGCTGTTCCAAAATGTTTGAAGCCCTCAATGGGATCAAATGCCAGGATGAAAGTACATTAAGTTTTGATAATCAGAAAAGGAAACTCCTCTTCCCTCGCCTCAAATCTTTGATACTATATTTTTCTCATCTTCCGTAGATAAAGTGGAAAAATTGCAGATTCTTCCTATTGAGCTACCTGTTACTTACTCTAAATGGGTAGAACCTTCTTAACCCTTATATTTTCCATAGCAGCATTAAGTCCCAAGACCAAAGTGATTGTTGTCCTGATTGTATTTTAAGAACTTAAATAGTACTTTGTGTGGTGGTGGCTGGCCGCCGTAGAGAGCTGCTAAGCTCTCACGCTGCCATGATTAGGAAGATCTACAATTCTTTAGCATAGTGAACTTGTATCTTTGGAAGAATTTTAGGGGTTTCTACTTGCTATACTGTGTGTCATGATCTAGCAGCATTCTTGTGGGATATAGAGACCTGTTTGTGTATGGACTTGTCAAAGCTAATAAAGTTTGGATATCTTTTTTTGTTTATTGATAACTTCAGTAACTCTTAGTATTTGTAGTATTATTTAATGGAAAACAGACTCTGTAAAGATACTGATTTTACTCAGAATAGAGAAATGTGAATAACATTCATTGTTTATAGACAATTCAGTATGGCTTAAACAGAAATTCAATTTAATGTTAGTATCATAGATACCTTATTGTTGCAGGGAATGACTAATTTTTAACGTGTGTCTTTATTTCCTACCAGACTTTTATATGACTGTAAACAACTATTGGATTCTAAATGCTAGACACATAAATTTAACCACGCTTTCTGTAGCTGGAGGATTCCGGGATTACCAAGTTCGTTCAGGACTGACTTTTCTACCAAAATTAAGCCATCATACCAGTGCCTTATCTGTTGTGGTAATCTTTTTAAGATTCTACTGAAATAGTAACAGAATGGATATAGTGGGGTATGAAAGGATAAATATGTAGTTGTTTGAAAATGACTACTGAGGGGTGCCTGGGTGGCTTGTTAAGCATCTGCCTTCAGCTCAGTTCATGATCCCGGGGTCCTGGGATCAAGCCCCGCATCGGGCCCTCTGCTCAGCGGGGAGCGTGCTTCTCCCTCTCTTACTCCCCCTGCTTGTGTTCCCACTCTTGCAGTCTCTCTCCCTCTCTGTCAAAAAAAAAAAATCTTTAAAAAAAAAGGAAATGACTACTGAGTTGGTGTAGTGCTGCTATGTGTGTATGTGCATGTGTGTGAGAGAGAGACTATGAAAGAATGGATAAGAATGAGTTGGGAAGGCAGAGGCATGGGTCCACAAAAAGTAAAAAGGATTTTAGAAGGTTTGTGAAAATGACTTATTTATGAAAGTGACTCTTACGAGTAGTTGTTCCTTGTTTAAAATAAGTACCTACCCACTGATGAGAGTTTTAACTATAAGAAAGTGTGGACTGAAGTCCAGAGGCGCCCCTTGTTATATCTGAGTGCTATATACAATAGAAATGGAATATCAAACTCTTCAGTGCTAAACTTGAATAAAAGTTTACCAATTTTAAAACTTAAAAATAGCTTTGATAGTATAACAGAATCCTGACTGATTAATTTGCTAATTATTCTTCCCTGCTAGGACATCAAGTATTTGGTCTTTAACTGGGATACATAGCTTCTGTAAAGTGAGTTCAAGTTCCTTTTAGGACTTACCTTATTTCTTATATTTTTAACCATGAAGTCTTCAGTTAAGATCTTAACTTTTTAACTCCACACAGTATATAGATATTGTATATAGTATGTATACATGTGTATACTGCATATCATCTCTAAATATAACTTAATTTCTTAAAAAAATCCAGTGTTCCTTTTGCTTTTTAGGAGATAGTGCTTTGTTTCATGGTTGTTCTCTTCATAAATACTCCCTTGCTCAGTTTGTCTATTGCCCCACCTTAGATTACTGTTCATTTATTAAACAAGTATTATTGAATGCTTGCCACACATAGGACAAAAATTATTAAGCCATTCTACTATTACCCACCATTTTCTTACTACCGGAGGAGTTGTGATATAACCATAATAGCTTTGAAACTAAATTGGTAAATCTCTCAAACCTCATTATTGGTATGAATTGTTTTATTTGATGTTGATTATTTGGGGCAGATATTTGCTGGAAGTCCTTAAAACATTAAATATCAGTTCTTTAGTAAACACAGATATGTTAGTAATATAAAATTGGATGTAATTTTTTCTAGACTTGACCTGGAGCATGTTGCTATATTGATGCCCCTTCCTGCAGCTTATCTTTTGGTTTCTTTGTGTGTGTGTGTGCGTGCGCACGCACGCGTGTGTCTGTGTCCCTCTTTTCTAATCAATTTGATAATTTGTTGCTTTCAAGGCACTTGTATTTCTGTATCTCTGATGAAAATATTTTACCTCTTAATGGAATTTTCTCAAAGCTGGTTACTGTCTCAATTTTATTTAGTATTTTAGCCCCCAAATAACTTACAACCTTTCATATATCTACATATATGTTTACTTTTAAAAAGTAATTATTAAGAAGTAACAGTTTTTTGATGATATATCAAGAATAGTTAATTGACATTTATAACCATTGGGACTAGAAAAATGAAGTTAGAGACCTCGGTTGTTTTAGTATTAGTAAGGTAGGCTGAACTGCTGTAATATACACTCATACAGATGATAGCACTTAAAAATATTGCTTCTATACCTGCCCTAGGTATGTATTTAAGTTGGTGGGTGGTTTTTGAAGGAGTCCCTTTAAGGGACCCAGGCTCACAGTAAGCAACCCTTTCTTGAATGCAAAGAGAGACACTGTGAAAAATAGTATCAGATTTACTTAATGTTTCCTGTTGTATGTAAGATGCTATTCACAGGAAAGTCATTACCTGATATGAAAAGGAGTCTCTAGTTCTTGAATGGTGCTGTGCCATTGTTAGGAAGCCTTCTTCAAACAGTTATATTTTTTAGGAGCCTTTTGCTAGTATGTCTCTAACTAGTAGTATATATATCCTAATGTAGGGATGTTTTCAAAATAAGTAACCTTGTACCATACTTGAAAGAGTCTGATTTTGGGGACATGGGTGGCTCAGTCTTTTAAGCGTCTGACTCTTGATTTTGGCTCAGGTCATGATCTCAGGGTCATGAGATCCAGCCCTGCATTGGACTCTGTGCTGAGGTTGGGGCCTGCTTAAGATTCTCTCCCTCTCTAAAAAAAAAAAGAGTCTGATTTGATTGCTTTGGAATTGTGATCAGGCATATTTATTTTGAAAAAGCTCTCTGAGGCTGGGTATTTCTCAGGCACACCTGATTAAAAAGTAACATCTTAGAATATCAAAGTAGTCTAGTCAGAACTAAAATTACTAAAGTAATTGTGATTTATTTAAAGAACCATAAACTCAGACTCTTAATAGAGTAATAAAGAGTTAGATATTAAACTTCAGTAAGGAATCTGTTAGATGCTTTAATAATTTTTGAAGGGTAATTTAAGCTTGACTAAGCAGTAATGATACTGATTTTATACAGGAACTACCTTAATATTTTTGGATCACCTTTCTAAGAATGCATCATTTAAATATGTCTATGCATCATAAAATAGTGAAACTAATGTTACATGTTTCTAAATATTAGCTTATGAGAATTTCAAACCTTTGGGAGAGTAACAAATGTGCTTTTCTTAAATTGGATTTTTTTTTTTCCTTGTCCTTTTAGAGTTCAGCAGTGCCTAAGACCTGGGTCTCAACAGACCACCTTTCCATTGTATGGTAAGTTAATATATAATAGGCTTATTTTGGTGGTTTGTGGTGGCCCTTTTTTCTTACCAGTGCATTGATTGGTTTGTTAGCCTTGTTAGCAGTTTATCCATAAATAAATAGATTTGGGAGAAAGATTGACTTAAGGGCTTAGAACTCTAACCTTGGTTTTTGTCTCAGTTTGACCAAGGTTCCCTTGACAGCTTGTAAAATCATCTTTTAAAGAACCACTAGCATGAATCTCAAATGAAGCTAGAGTCAAATGTCAGAATTTTAGAGTTTGTCATAGTTGGGCAGAATCAAAGGTACTTGTGATAGGCTCTTCTGAGCTCTTGGCCAGTCACCAAACTCAGGGACTTGATTAATATAGCATTAACTATTCTAGAGCATCACATGAAAAACCAAGTAGGAGTTAGATTTACCCTTAATATAAATAGATTAAATAAGGGTCAAGAAATACATAGACCCTAGTATCTTAACGCTATATGTTTTAGCTTAAAGATTATTTTTTCACTTTCCTCTGGCTGTGCAGTCAGTGGTGTCTGCAAGAAGCACAAGTTTAGGCATATAAAGATGGGGCAGACAGTTGTTTATAGCTGGGATGGACAAGGAGACTTAGGGAGAACAGAAGGACCCTGATAGTTCCATTGTCAAATGTCCAAGAAGATTTAATTTGCTTTATTTTTATATGTTTCAAGTTTAAAATATTCTTAATAATAATGATTCCTTAAATACCTTTAGAGTTTAGAGCAGTAAAGAAAACTCAGATATTCCATTAAGTAATAGAATTGTGCATGTTTGTATCAAAAGTATGTTTTTAAATAAAGTTTTATTGTAACATTGTAACATTTTATTCTTTAGGTGTAAACAATTACAATTGACTACAGTTCGAGCATTCTTTGATCTTATTGATGCTGATACTAAACAAGTATGTATTTTTAAGCTAAAAATTACTTCAGCAGAGTAAAAGCTTTTGTTACAGCAGGATGGATTTAATACTTTTTTTTTTTTTTTTACTTTCATAAAAGTAGAAGTCTTATATGTTGTATCAACTGTAATTAGTTTCAAAATAGAAATATATTTTTATCTGATAATACTTTGATCACTATTAATAATTAATAGAATGCGGGGCGCCTGGGTGGCTCAGTCGTTAAGCGTCTGCCTTCGGCTCGGGTCATGATCCCAGGGTCCTGGGATCGAGCCCCGCGTCAGGCTCCCTGCTCAGCGGGAAGCCTGCTTCTCCCTCTCCCAATCCCCCTGCTTGTGTTCCCTCTCTCGCTGTCTCTCTCTCTCTCTGTCAAATAAATAAATAAAACCTTTAAAAAAAATAATTAATAGAATGCAATGAAAATGAAAAAGTGAAAAGATGCTTTAGATCTTCCCCCAATTTTTCCCCTTGTTTAAAATTTGATATATATCCTTTTAACTTTTATTTAACTTAAAATACTTACTACAAGCTATTTTATCCTTTTTTTAGTAATATGTTGTAAACTTCATGATGTATCTTGATAGACATTTTTGCTTAAATTTTTTTTTTAAAAAAAGCATCTTTATCTTTCTGGTAGGATCAAAATGTCTTCATTCATTGGCTAACCCATGCTCGCCAGAACTTAAATTATGTACTTTTAGTAGCTGAATGTTTTTTGTAATGAGATTTCACTTATAAACTCTACAAACTAATGATTTGCCAAGTTCAATTAGCAGGACACCTGGAAATCCTAGTGCTATTTATAGAACATCATATTACTCTTTCATCTCTTTCATGTCTGCCAGCAGATATTCAGTAGTGGGCACCAAGGATTTCAGCAAAATTCAGGGAATTTTATCCATGAACTTAAATTTTTTTCTGTGAATTGGGAACAGATTGCTATTTTTTCATCTTAAGCAGCCTTTTTTTTTAACCTCAGGTCATCTTGTTCACTGTTTCATAGAAACATGTCTTGAGAACTGTGGCTATGGCTTCTCCTTTTGGATAAAAAGTTCCCTGTGTATTAGGAAATTTTCTTCATTATGGCAAAGTATTTAGCTGTTATTTTTGGATTCTTTTCCTTGAAGGCTCCAGTTTTTTTGAGAGACTAGTATCTGTGGCCTCTTTCTCAATAGATCTCTAGGTAATGCTTTCCTTATTGTGTCTTAGAACTTTTAAGTTCTCTTATAAGGCTTTTCACTCTTGGAAGTGGGGTACTGTTTGTATTTTTTCCTTAACCCTTCAGAAAGCTTCAGAACTGCTATTAGAATCATAAATACTTACCTCTGTCCTAAAGAATACAATATAAGAGAGATCCCCTCCAAAAAAAGACCCAAATTGTTGTGTTTTGCCACATTTTAAGCCACAAGATGCCATATTTAAGTTAGCATATTTATTAAAGTAAAACAGCTTTATAGAATTAACACTATGAATTGGTCATGCAATGCAAATATTTTTCAGTTTTTCAACCTTGTTTTAATTGTGAGTCTTAACTATGGCAAATGTTTTTTTAGTCAGTTTGAGAGAGTGCAACTAGATATAATAGTAGAATCAATTAAAATTGTAAGACCAGTTTGTATTTGGAATGACATTTGGTAGGCTTAGGAAAATACCCCATTTCAACCCATGAAGAACAGTAGTATCACAGACAGGTATATTCTTTAAAAATTGTACAGAGGGGCGCCTGGGTAGCTTAGTCGTTGAGCGTCTGCCTTTGGCTCAGGTCATGGTCCCAGGGTCCTGGGATCAAGCCCTACATCAGACTTCCTGCTCAGTGGGAAGCTTGCTTCTCCCTCTTCCACTCCCCCCGCTTGTGTTCCTGCTCTCGCTATCTCTCTCTCTGTCAAATAAATAAATAATAAATTTTTAAAAAAATAAAAATAAGTATTGTACAGAAAGCTAATTTTTTTATTGAGGTATAGTTGACACACTACATAAAACTAATTTTATTTATTTATTTATTTATTTATTTTAAGATTTTTTTTTTTTTTTTTTTTTTTGACAGAGACAGCCAGAGAGGGAACACAAGCAGGGGGAGCGGGAGAGGGAGAAGCAGGCCCCCTGCAGAGCAGGGAGTCCAATGCGGGGCTTGATCACAGGACCCTGGGATCACGACCTGAGCTGAAGGCAGACACTCAACGACTGAGCCACCCAAGAGCCCCCATAAAACTAATTTTAATAAATCTTATTTTCCATTAAATCCTGAGATGAGATTTTTAATACTAGTGTAATAAATTATAATTCTGGATAGATAAGTAATTTACAGACACATTTTAAGGGACAAATGAGAAATTTTTGGTAACTAATATTGCTAAGAATCAAACTATGAAACTGAGTTCTGTTTTACAGCCTCACTATATATAATCAACTGGACTAAATATTAGACAATAAAAAATTAGGATATGATTGCTATCCCTCAAGAAGATATTAGGAAGAGAAGCAAACATATATACAGGGAAACTATAAGCATAATTAGTCCCAAACATGTGGTACAAAGGAATCAGAATTAGAGAATAATTTCTGATGGTTATCAGCATAAAAAGCATAGCTGAAAAACTTACAAGTGGATGGATTCCCTGGAGAGTGAGTAAGGATGGGAGAATCCTGAGTTAACTAAAATTTTGGCAAAAAGACCTATTACTTTTATTTTTATTTTTATTTTTTTAAAGATTTTATTTATTTATTTGAGAGAGAGAATGAGAGACAGAGAGCATGAGAGGGAGGAGGGTCAGAGGGAGAAGCAGACTCCCTGCCGAGCAGGGAGCCCGATGCGGGACTCGATCCTGGGACTCCAGGATCATGACCTGAGCCGAAGGCAGTCGCTTAACCAACTGAGCCACCCAGGCGCCCAAGACCTGTTACTTTTAAATGATTGTGAACAGATGTGGCTGCTTTTAAAAAAAGTCAAAACTAGTTTTATATTAGATTGAGTTGATTGAAGTATTGAGTTTGCATCAATGAAGATAAAATTTCCACTGCCTTCTACTATAGTTAGATATCTAAGGAACTATATTCTATTTTGTATGTTGTATTATAAGGAGGACATTAACAAACTTGAGTTTATCCAGGGAAGGCAGTCAGGGTGATGAAGGGTTTGAAACAGTTCTATGAAAAATAGTTGATGTTTTTGAAGTTGTTTAATCTGTAAAGAAATGTTTTGTTGGATGGGGGATGTAACAGTCTTCAGTTTCTTGAAGGGCTGGCCCCTAACAATATATCAAAGTAACAGGGAGTCAGATATTTGCTCTAAATATGGCAGAGCATCCTCCTCACAAGAATTATTAAAATTGGAATGTATTATTTTTCACAATAGCAAGTTAGAAATAAATATTCAAGCAAATGTTGGGTGACTTCCTAAGGAATTGAAAAGATTTACCAGACCTGGGTCCTCACTGTCATTTCTTTGTCATTCTCTCATTATGTTGTTGAGAAAATCACTTACCTGTCAGGGCCTCAGGGCTTAAACTATAGAGTTGAATAGTGGTAGATTCTGAATGGATTTTAGACCCAAGTACTTTTTTTTTTTCTTTAAAGGAGGAACTGGTATAAAGTTGCAGACATTTATTGTGCTAGGATATTTTAAAACAGACAACAAAAAATCCTATTTTTATTTCATGAAAGAAAGGATATTTAGGCACAATGAAAGTAAGACAGGATAAAGCAAAGTAGTTTCCAAGGAAGGACAGTTGGCAATTCATATTTTCTCTGATGACCAGTGAATTTTTTGTTGTGGGATTGGTACTGGTCTGAGTTTGGAAAGTAGTGTGTTGGAATCACTAGACTGGAGGATCTCTTAAGTTCTCATCTGTCTCTATACACCTTTGTATGTTTTATTCTTAACTGTTACTTGAGAGGCACTAGTTGAATAATAATTAAAAGCATGGGCTCTGGAACCAGACTGCCTGAGTTTGAATCCTGGCCCAGACTGTTAATAGGAGTATGACCTTGGGCAAGTTCCTTAATTTCTCTGGTGCTTTAGTTTCTTAGTAAAAATGCAGATAAAAGGATTATTATCTCCTAGAGCTCTTGTGATGGTTAAATGAGTTAATAACATATTAAATACTTAGAACAGTGCCTGGCCCAGAATAAGTAACTGTTGGCTCTTATCACTATTACTTGCTGCAAAGTTTCATTGAACTATCACAATGGATATAAAAAGATACAAAATATATCATTATTCTTTCTAGATAACTCAAAATCCCAAGAAGAAATTGTCGGTTTTGAATCACCACTTTATAAGACACCCAGCAAAACACTTTGAGGAAAATCCAGCAATAATTTCTGACTTAACAGGTTGGTGGTAATAACATATTTTTATTTTAAATCAAGTTTTATTTTTAGGTAAATTTGTTATTAGTGAAGTCTTTGAAACTGTGGTACTTAGCTACTATAATCCTATTATGTTTTATTAATTTCTCTATGATGGTTTCTTATGAGGTTCTTGATTAAGGAAGGGAAAAAGGAGAGAAACAGTTGATGTTGCTGATAAAAATTTTGTTCTGAAAATAACATGAGAAGTACAAAGTTTTAACGATAGAGTTAAATGTCTCTATTTCCTGACAGTCATGTAAAACACTATCATTATTTTTGACTTTTCAGTATCAGTCATTTTTCATTCTTCTTTTGGTTTAACAGCATATCACTTGCTGTTAATATAATACCTGTTATACTCAGTTTGGAAAATAAGATAATTTCTTTCTTTTTTATTGATACATCCTTAGAGTAAAGGCACAAAATAAATTTAAAATGCTTTACTTGATGTGAATGCTAGTTGATGATGAGCACAGATAACATCTTACTAGATTTCTTATTTTAAAATAGCTATTGTTCAGGAAACCACTTCTTTTTCAAATCTTGTTGTAATTGAGAAGTATTTCGTGAGCATTCAATAAAAGTAATGGTTTCATATTTTAAAAGAAAGCCAAACAAATTAATTTCCTTTACCTTAGGGACATCTATGTGGGTTCCAGTGAAAGTGTCCAAATGGACCTATGTGGCTTACAATGTAAGTATACCATCAATGGAAATTTTTAATATTTTTTTCAAAAACATTTGGTATTTTTTCCAAAAACATTTTGGTATTTATATTTAAAAAGACTCTTGGGGCACCTGGGTGGCTCAGTTGGCTGAGCGTCTGACTTTCGATCTCAACTCAGGTCTTGATCTCAGGGTCATGGGTTCAAGCCCTGCATTGGGCTCCACACTGGGCATGGAGCCTACTTTAAAAAAAAATTAATTAAAAATAAATAAATAAAGACTCTTCTAAAAAGATAACTACATATATTTCCCGTATTAAAACAATTTAATAATAATTCCTTAATATCTAGTTAGTGTTCAGTTTCCCAGTTTTATCATAACTGTTAAATTTTTTCTCAGTTTAAATGAGAATACAAATAATGTCCACATATTGTCATTTGTTAATATGTCTCATTCCTCTTTTATTTTTTTATTTTTATTTTTTAAAGATTTTTTATGTATTTATTTGAGAGAGAGAATGAGATAGAGCATGAGAGGGGGGAGGGTCAGAGGGAGAAGCAGACGCCCCGCTGAGCAGGGAGCCCGACGCGGGACTCGATTCCGGGACTCCAGGATCATGACCTGAGCCGAAGGCAGTCGCTTAACCAACTGAGCCACCCAGGCGCCCTCTTATTCCTCTTTTAATCTCTCATACTTACTCTACCCCTTTTCTTTCCTTGTAGCGTATTTGTTGAAAAAACAAGTCATTTGTCCTATAGAGTTTCATACATTCTTGATTTGCTGATTGCATTCCTTCAGTGCTATTTAGTATATTCCTTTATCTACTCTTTTCCTGTAACTTAATACTTGGATCAGATTCATTTGCTTGATCAGATTCAGTTTTTGTTTTGGCTAGACTATCTCTTTTTTTGTGATGTTAGCAGCTGTTGGTGAAGCATGCCTAGAGTCATTAATTCATTTAGGGGGATGCAAAAAATGGTGGTACCCTAATTCAATTATTTTTTTCTTTATTAACTGGAACACTATATTGGGAAATTTCTTGTCTACTAAATTTATCAAAAGTGGAAAATATCAGAAAAGGAGAAAATTATAATTGCTTGGATCTTTGGATCTTATATTTACTGGTTTTCAGAAATAGCGAGCTGGCTCACAAACCTCCATCAGTGATCATAAATGGTTTTGGGGGTTTTTCTCCTAGTATTATTATGAACTCATCTTTTAAACATATTTGTGTTTCCATCTAAAATATTAAAATTCTTCTGTCTTTGACCAGTAGAAGCCATTTCAAGTTAGGCTCCTAAATCTTTTTGGTAAAGCTGCTCTTTGGTTGTCTCTTTGATAGTTTCTTCACTACCTAGTATGAGAAAATATTTGAACTCATTTTGTACATTTCCTGCCCCAGACCTTGAATCAGCTTTGTCCTAAGGAGCTCTCCCTGTTATTCGGGAAATGGTGTCTTAAAACCATAATTTGGGCACTAGAGATGTTTATGGCTAGTGGGCTAGCATTTCTAGGCCTTTTCAGTGGACAGAGCTAAGAAATGTATTTTATGTTGATCATTAGGCCAAAACTCAAACCGAAACAAAAAACATGCATCTATACTGCTATTTCTAAGACATATTCAGGACTGCAGGGTACCTGATATTCCTGACTTAATCTGTATCTTCTTCCCACTCCTAGAATATTGGTTCTCAACAATACCAAGAATGATAAAATTAGAATAATTTTTGCTTTATCTGTATATTTAAATGGTGAAATTGTCTACTCTCTTAATAGTTTTATTATGTTTTCCCTCTTTTTTTTTTTTAGGAATCTGATAAGATATATTTTACATTTCCTCTTGCAAATCATAGAAAAATCTACACTCATGTCTATTGTCAGAGCACCATGCTGGTAAGATAATTGGTAGATTGCATGTAAATCTAAAAGTCTATTTTTAAGATTCAACTAATATCTAATAGATCTCTTCTTTAGTTATGAACTATTATTAAATCTAATAAATTGAAAAATATTTGTCTAAAACAGTTTTGATTGAAAAGTATTAATCAAAATGTTTCTATAACTGATAATTTACTATTAAATTATACTTTTGGCTCTAGTTTGGATTTTTCACCCTGTTTTTCTACCTTACGTCTGTGTTTAGGATGAAGGAATTCAGTTCAAATATCCTAATTCTAAGATTCTGTTTGTACTTTAAAGAACAGATATATTTAAACAAAGCTATTCTATAGGAATTTTATGAAGTAAATACTGTTTTTCTCTTGGCTTCTATACTCAAATTTGCAGGACTTTTTATACCAAACATTCTCTAAAATAGTAACTTTTTGTTAAAATGTTATCTAGACTCAGAGTTACCAAAGTGATGATTTTACATATTTCTTTTTAATGAATACCTACTATCAGACATTGTCAAAAAATGTGTTACATGCTATAGGATGCCTTTGTTATATTTAAGTAATAATTTATTTGTCAGCATTTCTTACTTTCAGGAACTTGTTTTCCCAATTTGGGTTCTTTTCCCTCTTTTTGAATTTTTTTTTTTTGGCATTTCCCAAGTTTCTTCACTTTATATTTGTATTTTTCATAATTTCTTTCCACTTCTCCCTTTTGTTGGGTTATTTGTATTCTTTAGAACTAGAATCTAATATGTCACTTAGTTGGTAGATACTGCCATTTGATATATACTAAAGTCTTTAGAAATGATAGGTATTGTGGTCTAGGTGCTAATGAATACTAATTTTAGTGGGATGACCAGAGTTTTGCATCTCTCACAGAGACTAACATCTCCCAGCCTAAAATCTGGATGGGCGGTTTATCGCAAGAGAATCTGGCCCTTAGACTGCTGGCTTAAAATATCCACACTCAGTTAATTAAATTCCAAATCAGAATGTCGGTATTATAGTGAGAAAAATCCTTGCCAAAGTTCAAATTCTCCATTTGGCTTATTGGAGGATCCCTTTTCTGTATTTAAGGTCCATGGGTATTAATTAGCATCAAGTTATGTGGTGAATTTTAAAGATCTTTTCAATTTGTATTATAGAAGTTTTCAGTCATTTAAAGTAGAATATAATAATGAAATCTCACATAACTATCACATAGCTTTAACAGTTATGAATACTGCCATTTTTATTTATCCCTTTTTCACTTTTTTTTTGACTGAAGCATTTTTAAAGCAAATTCTAGGCATTTTATCATTTCATCCTTAAATACTTCAATATGTTTTCTAGCAGATAAGAAATGTGCAGGTTAACTATAATATTATTTCATCCAACAAAATTAGTTATTAATTCCTTAGTATCATGTGATATCCAGTCCATGTTCAGTTGTCCTCTGTTCAGTTAAATTCTAAGTTTGTTTATTTGAATCAGAATCCAAAAAGTATACATGTTATATTTGATTCATGGATCCTAAGTTTTTTATAATGGCCTCCTCTTTATCCCCCCATTTATTTGTTTAAGCAAGTGGGTTATATGTTCTGCAGAATTTCCCACATTCTGGGTTTAGGTGACTATTCTCATGGTATCTTTTTTTTAAAGATTTATTTATTAGAGCATGTGCGAGAGAGAGAGGGGGAAAGAGAGAGCACAGGGGAGAGGGAGAAGCAGACTCCCCACTGAGCAGGGAACCTGACGGGGCTCGATCCCAGGACCCCAGGTTCATGACCTGAGCCAAAGGCAGATGCTTAACTGATTAAGCCACCCAGGCACCCCTCTTGTGGTATCTCTTAACATGTGTTTCTATCCCTTATGTTTTCTGTAAACTGGTTGTTAGATTTAGAATCTTGATTATTTTTTAATTAAATTAATTACCACTAATTTTTTGTGGCAAGAATATTTTATAATTAGAACTATGTGCTTAACCAGAAGTTATATAGTATCTAGTTGTCCCACTTTAGTGACCTAAAGACTTACCAGTAGACTCAGATGGTATTAGCATGGTCTATCCTATATAAAGTTCCTAATCAGTTTTTCACCTAACAATTTTAGCAGCCTTTGAGAGCATCATTTTTTACTGTAGATAGGTTTCTCTTTAGATCTATTATATAAATTTTATGATCAAGTAGCATTTTCTCTTCAGTATACTTTAGGAATTGTTAATTATTGAGTGACTTTTTCTGAGATTTTCAGTGCAGTTTTTATAATTAGGGATGCTTGCTAGATGACCTGAAATTGTTCTTTTGATACCTTATAGATTATAGCAACATGGTGTTTTAGGGTGGGCTTGAATAATATTTTTTCAATTTGTTGATGAATAAGTCAGAATTCTCTATATACGGAAGTGTATAGTATAAAATATTGACAATTTTCATATTAAGGGCTGTCTTTGAAGATAGGCTCCCTTAGTAGCCGCAAAAACCCATTACAAAAGTGGGGTGAACTTTGAGAGCTCACTAGATGTTCCTTGTCTAAGCTATGCAGATCTTTTCTTTTGCCTTGCTTTATAATGTCACATTATTCTTGGGAAACACAGTTAACTGATACAGAAGTCACACAAGTATTTTGCCAGCAGTAAAGAGCAGACAAATTCCACGTTATTTTTTGTTTTCCTTTCAGCTTTCTTTTCTGTATTCTTGGAAAATGTCTTCAAATTGTATTTAAGCTCCATGAGGGCAGAGACCATGTCTGCCTCATTTATCATTTTTTCCTTGAAGGCGTAGCATAATTACATGGCTCTAGAATAGACTTTATAAATATTGGATGAAAGGATTAATATCTTTTGCATTATCCTCTCTGTTTATTAAGGAAAATTTTATATACCTGTCTGAGCAGTGTTTCTTACCCTCTTATACCTTGGTGTAGGATTTTAGTAGTTGGATCATCAGATCTTGGAACATCGCTCTTAACTACTTCCTTAAAAGTTGCAGTGAAGGTCTTTGGTCATACCTCTCTTAAATGACTGAAGATAAATACATAATATTGTTAAAATATCACTACCATCTCTGCGGCATTCCCAGGGTATCCTGATAAAGTCATAACCAGCGTTTGTCTTGAGCCCTTGGAGTTGTGCTTTAATCCAAACACATTCTCAGTTACATAGAAGTTTTGTCTGATAATCAAATGAGAACTCAAGTGGTAAACTAGCAAGCTATACTTAGATTAATTGCTATTTTTAATTACTTGACTGGATTTTTTTTTTCTGTTTGTTTAAAAGTCTGCCGATAGGTGTTCATCTTCTATATTTACTTAAAATGTAGTTACTTACTATGTAACTACCTAATTAAAGCATGGACATTGTTGAACTCTGAAAGCGTTGGTTCAAAAATTAAAATTGCTTACGCATTATGCTGTGGAGAGGTCACTCTTTCTCTTCCTGCTGCTCTAGGTTACTTGCTTACCTATCTTTATTGACATAAGACTTCTTTACCTGCCCTTGACCTATATGACTTTTGAAACAGCTTGGAAATGTTTCTAAATAACAGGTTGCTATTTTATGTTTCCATCATGCTTACTAACCCTATCATATAATAGTAAAATGTTAAGCTGCCTATTTTATGTAATTATTTTCTATAATATTTAGTGTGATTTGTGTTATTAATCAACAGGATACAAATAGTTGGATTTTTGGCTGCATAAACAGCACTTCTATGTGGTAAGTCTTTTGAAACTAAGGGCCTCAATTGTTCATTTTTCTCAATATAAATAATACAAATCATACTTATTAAAGATTTATTTATTTTAGAGAGAGAGAGAAAGAGGGAGCCAGGGTTATTGGGAAGGGACAAAGAGAGAAGGAGAGGGAGAGAATCTCAAGCAGACTCCTTGCTGTGCACAGAGCTTGATGGGGGCTCGATCCCATGACCTGGAGATCATGACCTGAGCCAAAATCAAGAGTCAGATGCTTAACTGACTGAGCCACCCAAGCACTCCGAAATCACGCTTTTTAAAATAGCTTCATACATTGTTTGTTTTGTTTTTTTAAAGATTTTATTTATTTATTTGACAGAGAGACGCAGTGAGAGAGGGAACACAAGCAGGGGGAGTGGGAGAGGGAGAAGCAGGCTTCCCGCTGAGCAGGGAGCCCAATGCAGGGGTCGATCCCAGGACCCTGGGACTATGACCTGAGCCGAAGGCAGACGCTTAACAACTGAGCCACCCAGGCGCCCCGCTTCATACGTTCTTTTTTTTTTTTTTTTAAGATTTTATTTATTTATTCATAAGAGACAGAGAGAGAGGCAGAGGGAGAAGCAGGCTCCCCGCTGAGTGGAAAGCCCGATGTGGGACTCGATCCCAGGACCCTGGGATCATGACCTGAGCTGAAGGCAGACGCTTAACCATCTGAGCCACCCAGGCACCCCGCTTCATACATTCTTAAGCTGATTTTACTGCTACATTACATTATAGTATTGATTTTTAAATGAAAAATGAAGGAAATTAACATATCAGTAGTATTTGCAAACATAGAAATGGTTGCTAGGAAAAACAATTTTTTTAAAGATTTTATTTATTTATTTGACAGAGAGAGACACAGTGAGAGCAGGATCACAAGCAGGGGGAGAGGGAGAGGGAGAGGGAGAAACAGGCTTCCCGCGGAGCAGGGAGCCCGATGCGGGGCTCGATCCCAGGACCCTGGGATCATGACCTGAGCCAAAGGCAGACGCTTAACGACTGAGCCACCCAGGCGCCCCGGAAAAACAATTTTTTTGTATCCAAAAGGCCTGTATGGATAAGAGTATATTGGATTAGACTTATTGGACCTTGTTTCATTAGAACTTTCTCTGATAGGTCTGTAGCTGGTTTCTTTTTCCTCTGAAGCTTATTTATAATTTATAATATTTTAATATATTTGTCCTTTAATTATATTTTCATATTCATTTCAAAGCCGGCAAGGGATTGATTTATCATGGAAAGCTGAACTACTGCCAACAATTAAGGTAAATTATGGCTTTAGAATTTTAAAATACTAAAAAATTCTTGAGTCTCTAGGCATTTTAGAATATGGTCTTTTATTAATTCATCAAACTATTAAATGAACTTGAGATTTGCTAAGATAGAGTTTAGAAATATTTTCTCTTTTAATGGAGAATAACACGCAATTTTTTTTTAACTTGCAGTGATAAAAACTGTAAGTTAACAATCTTCTAAATAAAATTAAACCTATATATTATAGCATCATACCAAGAGCTAGATAAATTTTTAAAATTTATTTTGAGGGTATGTTTGGAATGGTCTGTCTTAAAATAGAAGCTGAGTAGTAGTTTGAGTTTTTGGGAGAGGACCTACAGTAGGGGAGAGCGAGCATCTCAAAGAGACACAAAGTAATTTTCCAGGTCTACTTCAACATTCCTTTGCGGTCAAGCACTTGGATAACTCTACTTTATCTAGTACTCTGTGGGATTTATTTAATAATTGTTTGTGATTTCCTCAAGTAACTCTGATAGGGTCAGCAAGTCTTTTTACAAAAGGTTAATATTGTTGAGAAAATAAAACAGTCTAAAATTTGATGAAATACCTGTTCTGATTTCTAAACTGTGTTTATTATAACTCATAATCTTACACCAGGAGTGATAATTTTCAGTCTTCAAGTATTTTTTCATGATGAATACTAGCCTCTTAAACTTGAAAGTGAAGCCATCTGGTTGGTCCCAGTCATCTCCCAGTCCAGTTATTTGTTATTTATCTATATAGTCAGCTCTGTACTATACTAACAGAGGGGAATGATGATAGAATGAATAATTGCAAGTTACTTCACACTTGACTTTGGAATGGTTGCAGTTATTTTTTCTGTCACCCAGTCATCCTTATTTTGTGTATATTCATTCATATGGCTTTGTGTTCAAGAGATAAATATTGTAGGAAAGTGATTAGACTCATATGAACATTTTTAATGTCTCTCACTGGTTCTATCCTAGCCTTTTAGGAGCAAAACAAAAGTCTAGGATATACTTAATGATAATCATTCATAAATCTTTCCTTGAATTTCCAATTTGGATAGTATATCCTATTTAATCTGTAATTTAAGAGGAAGAAATAAATGATTAAAATCCTGATAGAATGTTACTTTGCTCCTGTTTTAAAAAGTTACATCTTAAATAATAAAATCCTTATGTATATTTTTAATTTCAAAGATTCAATAATGTATTCATCTAATTCTAGACCCTGTGTTGTTTCTTCTAAATGTGAGAAACAGCTGGCAGAACAGCAGAACAAGCTATTCCAGCTGCTTATTTTTTCTCTTTTCAAGATTTATTTATTTCAGAGGAGAGAGAGTCTCAAGCAGGGTCCCCGCTGAGTGGGGAGCCCAATACGGGGCTCGATCTCACGACCTTGGAATCATGACCTGAGCCAAAACCAAAAGTCGGATGTTCAGATCATGACCTGAGCCAAAACCAAAAGTTGGACACTCAACTGACTGAGCCATCCAGGCATTCCAGCTGCTGCTTTCTTTTTATAGTGAATGCTGAAAGAGGTTGCCAGACAGCATTAAAAGCCTACTGAAATTTAGAGAGGGAAAGTGGGAGAAGGATGTTTAGAAAATAAGGATTGCAATATTCTGCAATCTTAGGTGTTCTCAGTTGAAGAGGATTATAATTATTAAACATAAATAAACTCCATTTTAATGAAAATCAAAATTAGATGTGTTAGCCACTTCTAAAAAGGACACAAAGTTATTTTGCCATCAAGTTGAAGAGAAAGAAAAAATTAAAGTGAAAAGATTTCATGAATTTTATATTCATATCATCTCAACAAAAGTAATGTCAAATGAGAATCATATCACTTTTAGCATTGCTGCTGACTGAACTGTTAATAAATAGAAGACTCCAGCAAAGCACCTGTAAATTCAGTTTTTAAATACCAGTCATATGGAATTTTTCTGTCATGTGTACAATGAAGAAGTTTCTAAAAACCCAAAGCACAGCAGGCCAAGAATTTGGTAAGCCAAAATGGATTTATTGTTGAAAACAAAAAAGGTAACTTTCCAAAGATAACTAACTTGTATGAGAAAACTACCTTGTAGCCATTTTGCCTTAATCATACTTTAGCACCATAGCTTTGCTCTGCACATCAAAACCTGGTATTTGATTTTCTGTGTATGTTGTTTCAGCATTAAGGGCATTTTACCCTTAAAACACTGAAAAATTTCCAAACTTCATATTAATCTTACCTGTCAACCTAACGATTTCATGAATATGATAGTATTGTCAAGTTCCTACTGACATTATAACTATATAGCAACTTTATAAGGAAATTTTTTTGACAGTTACCTTTTTAAAGTATTCTGATCCTACAAAAAAATTCTTGAGAAAAAAACTATTCTTGAGAATAAATAACAAAGGCTAGTAGAGTGGATAGCCACACAGAGTAACCAAGGTTCTTTCTAATTATCTTTCATACTGTCTACCATCTGTTTGGTTGGTCTCAGTTGCCTGTCACTGTGATTTGTGAGGCCCTTTTAAGGCCTTTTAATTGACATTAGAACAGATTAGTCTGTTGCTGAGACTTTGGCAAGTAAGTCGAGGTGAAGCCTAAGAAGTTGTAAAAAAAAAAACACAAGTGAATCTGGTCAGGTTGTTAGCCACTTGTTCTCAGTTCTTTAGCTTTAGCACCTCTGTTCAACTTGCCCAATAGGTGCTTCTGAAGAACGTTAGAGAAAGTTAACTGTCTGCAGAAATTTCTTAATACATACAAATTGTTACCACATATAACTACTGCCACCCCCACATCTACTTCCAGAAAAAACCTTGGATTTAAAAACTGTATTTGGTGCTGTAGCTTTTCATTAAATAGACCAGTCTCTTATCTATTTATTCCTCAAAATATAGACTATAGGATCTGGTCTTAATTTTGAAAATAGATTTTCATTTGATAAGGTGCATTATTAGTCTTGTGTCTTCATGTCATTTACTGAATAAGTTCCAGAGGATGATATTCATATATATCATTAGACAGCAACTGTTTACTGCTTGGGCTAGATCAGAATCATTTGAGATTAAGTTGCAACTCTTCCATTATTTTTAGCATTCATTCATTCATCAGCTATTGAATGCTCTTTGTCATATGCTAGCTACCAATATAAATGTAGAAATTTTATTGTAATGTTATAAAAAACAAATGGACAAATTATAAAAGATACCGAATCTGGAAATAATTATGTAAAATAATTATATTTAATATTAAATGTCATTTGTTTTACATGAGGGGATACAGCTCAAGGAATATTTTTGGCAGTCCATATTTACAAAATATTAGGAATTTGACTTCAGGATTATTGACCTGAAAATGTAAACATGGGCGTTTTATGAGGTACTGAATATAATGTTTGAAATCAGTTTTTTATAACCAATTAAGAAAGAAATGTGTTTATAATTTCCTTTAACATGTTTTAAGTTCTGTATACCCTCAGAAATAAAATCAGCTTTTTATGTCCTTTTTTTTTCCCCCCAGTCTCTGACGTTAAGACTTCAAGACTATCCATCTTTGTCTCATCTTGTTGTTTATGTACCATCTATTCATGGAAGTAAGGTAACAAATGGATTAAGGTTGTTATCAGAATGTTTAGTGGATACTCATGCTAAATATTTAAGTTATTTTTTGATGAATTCTTCGGCATAGTGCTTATCTAAAACAATGACCAGTTTGGTGATCCACCTAATAAGACTGTTAAATCATTAGGATCATCTACTCTAACTTGAACTAAGCAGAATAAATCCAAGTCTCTGTGTTCAAAGTGGGAACGTACTTTATATATTAGTCTTTCAAAATCTATTCATTATTGAGTACCCTTTTATGTGCAAGACTCTGCCAGGAATTATAGGAGGCACACAAATGAGGGAGACATGAATCCTATTCTCAAAAAACTACATACTGTTGGGTAGGGGGAGAGAAACATTTGGAAGCAGAAGGAAGAGTGAGAATAAAAGAGGTACCCAAAAATATAATACAAATCAGAATATAGCAAATAAATTAAAGGTATAAGAAGGGGAGATATCTCTGAATGATGGAATGGGGAAAGGCTTTATTATGAGGTGATGTTTAAAATTTCCTTAAAGGATAGTTAATGTTTTTATGGGTATCAGAAACATTGTAGACCTATGCTGTCCAATATAGGAGCTACTGGCACATGTGGCTATTTAAATTAAAAGCAATTAAAATTAATAAAATTAAAAATTCAGTTCCTTAGTTATACTGGCTACATTCCAGATGCTCAGTAGTAATATCATTGCAGATAGTTATAATGAGCAGCACTACTGAGACAAAGAAACCGTGAGATCCAAGCATGAAAGTGTGAAAATGTGAGATATGTTTGGAAACAGTAAATAAGTAAATAGTAATTTTGAAAAGATGACCACATGGGTAGGATGGTAGTGGAAGAAAAGTCTGGGAAAGTAGTTCATGGCCATACTCTAGAGGACCTCGATTGGAAGATTCAGGACTTCATAGAATTCAGGAGTTAGTAGGCAGCTGAAAGATTTTCACTGTTAGTAGAAATGGGATCAGAGCCATTTTGGAAGATGAATCTATTTATGGTGTGCATGGATTAGAAACAGAGACGAGCTGCTGTATAATGGGTTATGAGGGCTTGAACTAGGGAAGTGGGAGTAGAAATAAAAGGATGGTAATTTTTGAGAGAAGTTGGGGGAGGGGGAAGCAAGAAGATAGAAGTAAAAGACCCTCTATTTCCCATTCCACATTTCACCCAACAAGCTTATCCTTCAGTATCTATCCTAAGTGTTCCTATTTTACTTTTCATGACTCATCCAGATAATTTCTTACTTCCATGGCACTTTGTTTATAACTTCTCCGAGGAATGATGCTGAATTATAATTTATTTGTTTATCTCTCTATTATCATCACCGTATTGTGAATTCTTTGGGAGTAAGACCAGATAGATTTTATTATACTTTGCATCCTCATCCTTTAGCAACTCACTACCGTATAAGCGCTCAAAAAAATAGTTCTTTAGTGAGAAAATTGTTGAGATTTGCGGCCAAAATCATTAGGAAAATTTTAAAGATAAAGGAATAGGGGGATTTAGTTGGGAGTTAACTCAAAGACTGAGTCTCACAAGTACCTTATAATGAATTCATTGTTTTGTTTTGCTTAGCACAAGTGAGAGGTAATTCAGCATCTTCAATTCTAAAAGCTCTCTTTAGGGGTTTTTCTGTCAGGTAAGTTGGCTTTGAATGAATTTAAACATCTTTCCCAAACTTGGAAAGGCCCTGTCTGGTTATTCCAAGAAATTAATGAGCCTTTCACAAATAGCCAGCCTTAGCAACCTAATGAATATTTAATATGTCTTAATGCTCTTTGGAAACTAACACTTGCTGACTCTACTGTTGCACACCCAGTCTCACAAGGATGTTAATTTAGGCCTTTTATAATTTCTGCATATCTGTTATAACCCATCATCAGGATACATATATTTAAATAGACAGCTTGAAAATTTTTTGCAGTCAACTGATAATAGAGTTTTCAAAATGCAAATATGGAATTACTTGCATTTTTTGATGACAGAAAACAAAATAATTCCTTTAGAAAGAGACTCTCGAATTCTTTTCTTGGGTATGGGTTTATTCCATAAAGGGAAAGCAATAATAAAAATTTTTATTAAAAAAAGCATTAATAAAAATAAATTTTTATTATTATAGCTGTAATAAAATCAAAGCAATAATAAAAATTATATTATTTTAAATTATATTATTTTAAAGTGATTTAAAATTGATTCTCTGTCTCAGGCAATGTCTCACCCAAAAGTGCTTTGTAAAAATATAATGAATAATCTTGTTCAGTAGATGATTGTTCTGACCTTGTAACAGCTGTTTTCTATAAGGAAAATGTCTGATGGTATTGTTGGCCTTATAAGTAAAGAAGGGGAAGAAAAGCAAAGCCCCTTAACAAGTTTTTCCTTTTATTCCTAATATGTGTGCTGTAGTCAGATAGCCTTTTCCCCCATCTATTTTTGACTTTCAGAAATAATAAAAAAATCCACCCAAGAGGCAAACAAAATAACCTTGCTTCAAGCACAATCCAAGGTGTACTTATTGGAAAAGCCTAGGATAGACCTCACTGGCTTTCTCCTTCCTATAGATAGCAAACTACTTGCTAGCTACAATTAGGCATCAGATTAATTTGTTCTTCAGCTCCTATAGATCAAAGTAATTTGGTTTCCTTATGGAGATTATTTTAATGAAACCATTCTTATTGCAGACAGCTTAGGGCAAAGTTCCTTATGCCATTGTAGAAATGTTATTACATAAGAAATGTCATTACAAAACATTGTAATTATGCAGATGTCACATTTTAGTTTTACTTTTTTTGAGATAGCATTTCATTTTCTTGCTTCATACATAGTAAACCTTTTTTTCCATTTAATCACTGTTTAGCTTGAAATAATCTTATACAAATAACTTTAGCCATCTGTAGATGAATAGCAGTATGTCCATCTCCAAGTCTTTTGTAGTCTAATTAGAGTGTTGGAGATACATAATTAATATGGGATTTTTAAAAAGTAAATGTAGCAAAATCATATTTCTTTTTGACTGTGGAAATATTGAGAGATTTTTATCTAAATCTTTGATTAATCTTGAGTTAACCTTGATTCTTAATGCTTTGATCCATCCTTTATGGTCCCTCTTCTATAAACACCTAAAAACTAACTGGAAGGAAACTGGATTATACATCAGCTGTTGTAAAAATGGTCCTCCAATAATTTATTAAGTTAAGCTTGTTCATCAAATTTTCTTGGCTTAGGATCTCTCTTTGAGTAATTGTTGCCATCTAAATATAGCCAGAGTGAGAATGTGATAGGTAATAACTTCTACAAAGCTGAAGTTTATTTATAGACTTCTATTTTCCACTTAAACATGAAGTGAAGATATTTTATTATAAATGTAATTGTTTTTTCCTAAAAATCAATGCTTTATATTTTAGTTTGTTGTAGATTGTGAATTCTTTAAAAAAGAGACAAGGTCCATTCAGCTTCCTGTAACTCATCTTTTTTCCTTTGGTAAGTACTTTGATTTTGGAAGTCTTAAGAATTCCTTTTTTTTTTTTTTTTAAGTAGGCTTCATGCCCAGCATGGAGCCCAGAACAGGGCTTGAACTCAGGACCCCGAAATCAAGACCTGAGCTAAGATCAACAGCCATACTGTCAACCGATTGAGCCACCCACACATCCCAAGAATTGCTTTTATTTTTAACAGAATGCTTATTTATTTTGCCAGTCAGTTGCAATAATGGAGAGCCTGTAACATTAAATATTGTATTTCAAGTATAGTTCTTAGGATAACCATATAATGTGGTTCAATGGTTTGATTGTTATACTAGGCCAGAGGTCATCTTCTGAGAAGTGAACTTTAACTTTCTCCCTGGTCATATACATGTGCAAGTAATTGTGTGTGTGTGTGTGTGTGTGTGTGTCTTCCATGAATTTATACTACATGTTGGCACTTTTAATAAAATGTTTATTATAAGGTATAAATTGCTGTCTGCCCTATGGAAGTTTCAAGATTTCTCTAAATATTTTTCCCATTTTTTTTATTGTGGTAAAATACATGTAACTAAATATGCCTTTAAATTTTATTTTGAAGTAATTTTGAGCATTCAGAACAGTTACAGAAAGAGCACAGGGTTCTATATCCTTCACTCACCTTAACAAACAATGCAGTTGTCAAAACTAAGAAATTATTATTCATACAACACTATTAACTAAATTACAGGCTTTATTTGGTTTTCATCTTCCTTTTATTCCTAATATGTGTGCTGTAGTCAGATTTGATTTTACTTCACTGTTTTTCCATCAGTGTTCTCCAGATTCTCACATTGCATTCAGTTGTCATGTCCTGTTCACCTCCTCTAATCATTGATAGTTCCTCAGTTTTTCCTTGTCTTTCATGACTTTGACATCTTTTGAAAAGTACTTTGTTATTTTGTAGAATATCAAATACTTGGATTTGTCTAATGCTTTCTTACGATTAGATTAAGGTTGTACATTTTTAGCAAGAATATCACCGGAGTTATGTGTGCTTCTCATTGTATCCTATGGTTGGACACGTGATATCACTTTGTCTAATTACTAGCAATGTTAACCTTGATTACTTGGTTAAGGTAGTGTCTGCCAGGTTTCTCCACTGTAAATTTATTTGTTTCCTTTTTGTATTTAATAAATGTCTTAGGGGAGTTACTTTGAGAATGTTTAAGTATGCTTTTATCTTCAAAATAACCCACTAATTTTAGTATCCATTGGTTCCTCTAGTTTGAGGCAGTTATTACTGGTATTCTATATTTATTGGAATTCTTATGAAAGGAAGGTTGTCCCTTCTCCATTTATTTACTTACTCAATTTTTATTTATGTCAGTATGACTCATGGGTATTTATTTTATTCATTGGATTATAATTTAATACTATCATTACATTTTTTTTTCTTAAGTTGTTCCAGCTTTGGATATTGGGAGCTCATTTTAGATTGGCTCCTTGCCCTGTTGACATGGCCTATCCTTAAAATATATTTTTTTAAATTCCATTTGTGAAAAGAATCTATTACTTGAGAGCGGAAACTTTTAGATTTTTATCCCTCATCCACCTTTTTTGGCCAGCGGGTAAGAAGGATACTCAGAGGGGCACCTGGGTGGCTTATTTGGTAAAGCGACTGCCTTCAGCTCAGGTCATGATCCTGGAATCCCTGGACTGAGTCCTGCATCGGGCTCCCTGCTCTGCGGGAAGCCTGCTTCTCCCTCTGACCCTCCCCCCTTTCATGTGCTCTCTCTCTCTCATTCTCTCTCTCTCAAATAAATAAAATCTTAAAAAAAAAAAGGATACTCAGAACAATACAGAAATGACAAGTCTGAATCACCCATCTCATTAAAGATAGCACTTATAAAATGAAAGATCTACCAAGAAAGCATACCTGTTTGAAATTGAAAATATGTACTTAACTTTTTAAAATACATACATTATAAATATTGTCCAGAGTTTATTGAAAGAGGATAGGATTTTTAGGAGTTCACTCCTCCATGCCAGAAACGAAAACCTATAAACTCTTTTTTAATATTAAAAATGTATTAGCATTAGTTAAACATTGTTAAACAATCAGTACTTTTTAAAAAACTGTTTAATTCTAAGTAATACAGTACTTTCAATTCAACAGGACTGTCTTCAAGGAAAGTGATATTAAATACAAGTGGCCTGTTTTATAATATAGAACTTCTAAACTTCGGACAGGTAATTATCCTGATTATAGCAAGGATTTGATTTTACTTCACTGTTTAGTTAAGCAAACAAATAAACTTTTGTTTGTTTGTTTTTTTTTTTTTTTTGTGGTCGAACTCTTATTAGATATACCAGGCTTTTAAAATCAACGTAGTAAGCAAGTGCTCAGGAGTCAAAGGTAAGTGTATTTTCTGAGAAGAATAGTATTGTCATTTGAAGAAACAATAGCTCTTCACTTGAATTTTCTATAATACTTATTTATTTTATGTGAATTAAAATTATAGTAGAAAAGCTGTCTATATTTCCAAGAGTTTTAACATAGACCCTTTTTAACACTAAGTATCTTCAGCTGTATCAGTTTAAATATCCACATTTTAAAAATACTATATTTTTCTATCTCATTATAGTAGTAATTCAGATTTAGCTGTTTTACCAGTTTCTTGTTACTTTCCATATGCTGCAATATCTTTTGTAAGTCTAATTAAACATTATTATTTAATAATTCTCTAATTTTTTATGGGATCTAAGTCTTACTGGTTATTTTTTATGAAATGGTTAACTCTGTAGTTAGGTATTATAGTAGCTTATGTAACACATAAGGTTAAGGTTACATAAGGTTAATAACACATATTTCCTTTATGTTTCCACAGAAGAAATAACTAGTATTTATAAACTTCATATTCCTTGGTCTTATGAAGATTCCTTAACTATTGCACAGTAAGTATATGGAAGAATTTATCTTAAACTTTGGTCATTTTGAGTAATACATATTCTGCTTAGTTTATTTAAGTGAAATTTTAATGAAACTATTTAAGTGCCTCTTAATAAAATGTAACTATCCTTTAGGTAGCATTGTGCTCATAAGATAATATTATAAGACAATGTAGTATTTTTATCTAAATGATCTAGAATTTAAACTTTACTTGCTTGGACCATCAACCCCTTCCTCGACTGTCCTCCAACGCCTGTCCTAGATGAAGGAGCATTCAAACAACTGTGATACAATTGAAAAAGTGTCCATCTGTAATAACGTCTCTGACATCTGTCTTCCTCTCCATTATTTCATTGTGTTGCGCGAGGATTGACTTAGAGTTGGTTATTTAACAGCAGTTTGTATTTGAGAATTAATATTTAAGTTTTCTTTTCAGGGTACCATCTTCCACAGAAATTTCTCTGAAACTCCATATTGCTCAACCAGAAAATGACAGCCATGTAGCATTATTAAAAATGTATACATCTTCAGACTGTCAGTATGAAGTAAGTTGCATGTTTGCTTAACTTTTAAGATTTAGTTATAGAATACACAGGAAATGTATTTTTATATTAGCCTTAGATATATGGTAATGTGGAAGCCAATAAATATATGAAATAGACATTTATGATGCTTTAAACATTCTCCATTTTGCCTCTTAGCACCACCTCAGTATTTCCTTATATGTCTTAATAAGTATAGAAAATGAAAATTGAGACTATAGATTAACTTTCTAAGTTTGGAAGCTCAAAGTCCAAAATTCTCTATAAATTGAAGAACATCATGAAATCAGCTGACATGGCTTTACTGCAATAATTAACATGATTTATATTGGTTTCCAGCTCCACTGGATAAGTGTTAGAATCTTCTTTCCTTTTCACTAGCTTTTTAAATCTCTGTTAGTCATTAATATGTGCAGTGTAGTACACCTGCTGTGTTTGTTTTACAATCACAGTACCTCTCTGCTCCAAGAGAAGGGAAATAGACTTGAGGAACATTTACTCTTATGGATTCATGAACTACAGGTGTCCCTCTATATCATCCCATGTTCTAAGAATTCCAGGTTTAAGGGATTATATATTTTAATGGCGATTTCTGGTTTATGTGAAATATCTTCTTTCTATTCAGTTCCTTTAAAACAACCTTAAATATTTGGATTCTTCATTAGAACTTTCTTGGGGTGGATTAGAATTGGTAGGTCAGACTGTTTGTTAGCAACAAGTTTCAGTTGGACCTAAATTATGAGTTATTTTGGATTTCATAGTATTCATTAATGCTTTGATATCTTGCTTTCTGTTTCTAATACTGAAGGACTTTGTAGGGCTGTAATGGTTTTTAACATGTGTCTAATAGTGATAGCAAGAATTGCATTAATACTTTGGCTCCAAATACTGCACACACTCACAAATGTCCATGTTTTTATAAGTACTTTACATTTTTAAAAAGTAAGTATTTTGAATAATCATTTTATAATTTCCGTATGAAATACATATTTCCTTTTCCCAGACTTCCTAATATAAAAAAGTGTATTTATAATAGAGATAATGATGAATTTCTTTTTAAAATACTGTTTCGGCTTAAATTTTACCAAATATGCTCTGTTCCTGGTCTTTTATTCTATGACACTTGTTTTTATGAAATTTACTCAGAAGTGCCTTAGCTTAACTATACTTAGTGCTATACAGTTGTAGGTTTGAGATTTTAAAATACTGGTTATATACATAGGTTAATTTGTGTTTAATTGTTCAGCAAACGTATGTGTAGCTTCTGAATTCAAGTCATTCAGTCAATTTCTTTAGCTTGCACGACCTGGTACTAAGATATTCTGGTTAATCAAATATTCTAGTTAGTAAAGGGTTATCATATGTACCATTCATCCAGTTGTCAAAGAATTAGAATCCAGGAAAATATGCTGAACAATAAAACTACACTTAATACAAATTAAAATTTGTGGTTCGGAAGATTCTTACAAGACCATAAATGTGTTTAGGTTGATCATTATTAAAAAATTAATGATTATGCTTAGAGATGTGAAATGCTCAGTTTAATAAAATGTGAACTAGAAGGCTTTAGGAAAAATAACCTTTTTTAAATGATTATTTTAAACTAGGTCACAGTTAAGACTTCCTTTTCACAAATACTTGGACAGGTAAGTGATTCCTGGTTGATTACTATAAGGCAAGGGTTGCAAACTGTTGTCTAGAAAGGGCCAGATAATAAAATATTTTAGCAAACCAAATATGATCTGTTGCTGCTGCTACTGCTGCAGCTGCTTCTTTCTTTTTCAACGTTCTCCTTTTCCTTCTTTTCCCACTTTAATAAAATCCAAAAACCATTCTTAGCAGAAAAATCATAGTTGGCCATGCCTGGCTTTAAGGTGATGCTTTCACTCCTAGAAATGAGAGCTGATTCGTGATTCTCAAATTAGTGTTTTTGGCTAAATGAATGTCATAGTAAGATTTCATGTTGATCATACTATAGTATACTTCATAGTCCAGTAAAATTTGTAGGCTCTGTCATATAAACAAACATTTTCAAATAACTTTTTATGTTGTATATGCTTAGCTTGTAAAAATAAAAAGTAAGTTATATTAAAAATAAACATGTTGAAATACTTTAAATGCTTTTGGGGAGTATGTTTCTGTAGTTCATAAATAGTGTTACAAAAATAATTTATCAAATAGTAGAACTACTAAAATATTACTCAATATCATTATAATTTGCAGAATTGTATAACCTGGGCATAAATAATAATTTTTTATTTTATTTTTTTGTCTGTTGTGGCATAGCATAGCAGAATTTTTAAAATTCAAGTCCTTTAATTCTATAATTATAAAACTTACAAATCAAAATTAAATCAGAAAATTTTTATATGCATTATCTCATTTGATTCTCACAACAACCTGGTGAGAACTAAATTGTGATTATTATTAAATTTGTGAGTATTAGAAAATTCTAAGTTCATGTGTAAAATGTGCTACATTAGAAAAAGAAGATTAAATGTTGGTAAAAATTGGAAAAGTAGCACCATGGATAGTTAAATTCTCTAGCTTGTTAAGGGACTTTTTTAAAGAAAAATTGCAGGGGGTGGGTGGAAAAAAAAAATTACGTCTTGGAATATAGGGGAAGAATTGTTGCTACTGTATTTTTAGTATGTCCAAAAGGCATGTTACTGTACACAGTGGTCTGGGCTGAAGATATAACATACTGTTTTATCTGTATCATCCCTGGGGCTCATAATTCAGATTAGTGACAAGAAAAGTCAGGTTCACCAAAGAAGGACATACTAATATTCTTGTTTAGGCATGGAAATTTATCGAAAAAACAAAGATATGTAGGTTTTACAGGATCAAAGGTGTACTTTTTTTAAAAAAAAAATTTATTGTTATGTTAATCGCCATACATTACATCATTAGTTTTTGATGTAGTGTTCCATGATTCATTGTTTGTGCATAACACCCAGTGCTCCATGCAGAACGTGCCCTCTTTAATACCCATCACCAGGCTAACCCATCCCCCCACCCCCCTCCCCTCTAGAACCCTTAGTTTGTTTTTCAGAGTCCATCATCTCTCATGGTTCATCTCCCCCTCCAATTCCCCCCCTTCATTTTCCTCCTGCTATCTTCTTTTTTTTTTTCCTTAACATATATTGCATTATTTATTTCAGAGGTACAGATCTGTGATTCATCAGTCTTGCACAGTTCACAGTGCTCACCATAGCACATACCCTCCCCAGTGTCTATCACCCAGCCACCCCATCCCTCCCATCCCACACCCAACTCCAACAACCCTCAGTTTGTTTCCCGAGATTAAGAATTCCTCATATCAGTGAGGTCATATGATACATGTCTTTCTCTGAATGACTTATTTCGCTCAGCATAACACCCTCCAGTTCCATCCACGTTGTTGCAAATGGCAAGATCTCATTCCTTTTGATGGCTGCATAATATTCCATTATATATATATAAAACACATCTTCTTTATCCATTCATCTGTCGATGGATATCTTGGCTCTTTCCACAGTTTGGCTATTGTGGACATTGCTGCTATAAACATCGGGGTGTACGTACCCCTTTGGATCCCTACATTTGTATCTTTGGGGTAAATACCCAGTAGTGCAATTGCTGGATCGTATGGTAGCTCTATTCAACTTTTTGAAGAATCTCCGTAATGTTTTCCAGAGTGGTTGCACCAGCTTGCATTCCCAACAGTGTAGGAGGGTTCCCTTTCTCAGCATCCCTGCCAACATCTGTCGTTTCCTGACTTGTTAATTTTAGCCATTCTGACTGGTGTGAGGTGGTATCTCATTGAGGTTTTGATTTGGATTTCTCTGATGCTGAGTGATGTTGAGCACTTTTTCGTGTGTCTCTTGGCCATTTGGATGTCTTCTTTGGAAAAATGTCTGTTCATGTCTTCTGCCCATTTCTTGATTGGATTCTTTGTTCTTTGGGTGTTGAGTTTGATAAGTTCTTTATAGATTTTGGATGCTAGCCCTTTATCTGATATGTCATTTGCAAATATCTTCTCCCATTCTGTCAGTTGTCTTTTGGTTTTGTTGACTTTCTTTTGCTGTGCAAAAGCTTTTTATCTTGATAAAGTCCCAAGAGTTCATTCTTGCCCTTGCTTCCCTTGCCTTTGGCGATGTTTCTAGGAAGAAGTTGCTGCGGCTGAGGTCGAAGAGGTTGTTGCCTCCTTTAGGATTTTGATGGACTCCTGTCTCACATTTAGGTCTTTAACCATTTGGAGTCTATTTTTGTGTGTGGTGAAGGAAATGGCCCAGTTTCATTCTTCTGCGTGTGGCTGTCCAATTTTCCCAACACCATTTGTTGAAGAGACCATCTTTTTTCCATTGGACATTCTTTCCTCCTTTGTCAAAGATTAGTTGACCATAGAGTTGAGGGTCTATTTCTGGGCTCTCTATTCTGTTCCACTGATCTATGTGTCTGTGTTTGTGCCAGTACCATACTGTCTTGATGATGACAGCTTTGTAATAGAGCTTGAAGTCCGGAATTGTGATGCCGCCAGCTTTGCTTTTCTTTTTCAACATTCCTCTGGCTATTTGGGGTCTTTTCTGGTTCCATACAAATTTTAGGATTATTTGTTCCATTTCTTTGAAAAAAGTGGATGGTATTTTGATGGGGATTGCATTGAATGTGTAGATTGCTCTAGGTAGCATTGACATCTTCACAATATTTGTTCTTCCAATCCATGAGCATGGAACGTTTTTCCATTTCTTTGTGTCTTCCTCAATTTCTTTCATGAGTATTTTATAGTTTCCTGAGTACAGATTCTTTGCCTCTTTGATTTATTCCTAGGTATCTTATGGTTTTGGGTGCAATTGTAAATGGGATCGACTCCTTCATTTCTCTTTCTTCTGTCTTGTTGGTGTATATAAATGCAAATGAGTTCTGTGCATTGATTTTATATCCTGCCACTTTACTGAATTCTTGTAAGAGTTCTAGCAGTTTTGGGGTGGAGTCTTTTGGGTTTTCCACATAAAGTATCATATCATCTGCAAAGAGTGAGAGTTTGACTTCTTCTTTAACGATTTGGATGCCTTTTATTTCTTTTTGTTGTCTGATCGCTGTGGCTAGGACTTCTAATACTATGTTGAATAGCAGTGCTGATAGTGGACATCCCTGCCATGTTCCCGACCTTAGGGGAAAGCTTTCAGTTTTTCCCCATTGAGAATGATCTTCGCTGTGGGTTTTTCATAGATGGTTTTAATGATATTGAGGTATGTACCATCTATCCCCACACTCTGAAGGGTTTTAATCAAGAAAGGATGCTGTACTTTGTCAAATGCTTTTTCTGCATCTATTGAAAGGATCAGATGGTTCTTGTTCGTTCTTTTATTAATGTATTGTATCACACTGATTGATTTGCGGATGTTGAACCAACCTTGCAGCCCAAGAATAAATCCCACTTGGTCATGGTGAGTAATCCTTTTAATGTACTGTTGGATCCTATTGGCTAGTATTTTGGTGAGAATTTTTGCATCCATGTTCATCAAGGATATTGGTCTGTAGTTCTCCTTTTTGTTGGGGTCTTTGTCTGGTTTTGGGATCAAGGTAGTGCTGGTCTCATAAAATGAGTTTGGAAGTTTTCCTTCCATTTCTATTTTCTGGAACAGTTTCAGAAGAATAGGTATTAATTCTTCTTTAAATGTTTGGTAGAATTCCCCTGGGAAGCCATCTGGCCCTGGGCTCTTGTTACCCTGTTAGTATTTTGTTCTCTCATTCATCTATTCTCCTCTAGACAAAATGACAAGACAGAAAAACTCACCTCAACAAAAGAACAAGAGGTAGTACCGACTGCCAGGGACCTACTCAATACGTACATTAGTACGATGTCGGATCTAGAGTTCAGAATCATCACTTTAAAGATACTAGCTGGGCTTGAAAAAAGCATGGAAGTTATTAGAGAAACCCTTTCTGGAGAAATAAAAGAACTAAAATCTAACCAAGTCAAAATCAAAAAGGCTATAATGAGGTGCAATAAAAAATGGAGGCTGTAACTGCTATGATAAATGAGGCAGAAGAGAGAATCGGTGATATAGAAGAAGACCAAATGCTGGAGAATAAAGAAGCTGAGAAAAAGAGATAAACAACTACTGGATCACGAGGGCAGAATTCGAGAGATAAGTGATACCGTAAGATGAAACAATATTTGAATAATTGGGATCCCAGAAGAAGAAAGAGAGAGGGGGGCAGAAGGTATATTGGAGCAAATTATAGCAGAGAACTTCCCTAATTTGGGGAAGGAAACAGGCATCAAAATCCAGCAGGCACTGAGAACCCCCCTCAAAAATCAATGAAAATAGGTCAACACCCCAACATCTAATAGTAAAACTTACAAGTCTCAGAGACAGAGAAAATCCTGAAAGCAGCTTGGGACAAGAGGTCTGTAACCTACAGTGGTAGAAACATTAGACTGGCAACAGACCTATCTAGAGACCTGGCAGGCCAGAAGGGACTGGCATGATATATTCAGAGCACTAAATGAGAAAAATATGCAGCCATAAATGCTGTATCCAGCTAGGCTGTCATTGAAAATAGAAGGAGAGAGAAAAAGCTTCCAGGACAAACAAAAACTAAAGGAATTTGCAAACACAAAACCAGCCCTACAAGAAGTATTGAAAGGGGTCCTCTAAGCAAAGAGAGAGCCTAAAAGCAACACAGACCAGAAAGGAACACAGACAATATACAGTAACAGTCACCTTACAGGCAATACAATGGCACTAAATTCGTATCTTTCAGTAGTCACCCTGAATGGAAATGGGCTAAATGCCCCAATCAAAAGACACAGGCTATCAGATTGGATTAAAAAACAAGACTCATCGATATGCTGTCTGCAAGAGACTCATTTTAGACCCAAAGACACCCCCAGATTGAAAGTGAGGGGTTGGAAAACCATTTACCATGCTAATGGACACCAAAAGAAAGCTGGGGTGGCAATCCTTATATCAGACAAATTAGATTTTAAACCAAAGATGGTAATAAGAGATAAGGAAGGACACTATATCCGACTTAAAGGGTCTATCCAACAAGAAGATCTAACAGTTGTAAATATCTATGCCCCTAACATGGGAGCAGCCAATTATATAAGGCAATTAATAACAAAAGCAAAGAAACACATTGACAACAATACAATAATAGTGGGGGACTTTAACACCCCACTCACTGAAATGGACAGATCATCTAAGCTAAAGATCAACAAGGAAATAAAGACTTTAAATGACACACTGGACCAAATGGACTTCACAGATATATTCAGAACATTCCATCCCAAAGCAACGGAATACACATTCTTCTCTAGTCCCCATGGAATATTCTTCAGAATAGAACACATCCTAGGTCACAAATCAGGTCTCAACCGGTACCAAAAGATTGGGATCATTCCCTGCATATTTTCGGACCACAATGCTTTGAAACTAGAACTCAATCACAAGAGGAAAGTCGGAAAGAACTCAAATACATGGAGGCTAAAGAGCATCCTACTAAAGAATGAAAGGGTCAACCAGGAAATTAAAGAAGAATTTAAAAAATTCATGGAAACAAATGAAAATGAAAACACAACTGTTCAAAATCTTTGGGATAGAGCAAAGGCGGTCCTAAGAGGAAAGTATATAGCAATACAAGCCTTTCTCAAGAAACAAGAAAGGTCTCAAGTACACAACCTAACCCTACACCTAAAGGAGCTGGAGAAAGAACAGCAAATAAAGTCTAAACCCAGCAGGAGAAGAGAAATAATAAAGATCAGAGCAGAAATCAATGAAATAGAAACCAAAAGAACAGTAGAACAGATCAATGAAACTAGGAGCTGGTTCTTTGAAAGAATTAACAAGATTGATAAACCCCTGGCTAGACTTACCAAAAAGAAAAGAGAAAGGACCCAAATAAATAAAATCATGAATTAAAGAGGAGAGATCACAACCAACACCAAAGAAATACAAACAATTATAAGAACATATTATGAGCAACTATATGCCAGCAAATTAGACAACCTGGAAGAAATGGATGCATTCCCAGAGATGTATCAACTACCAAAACTGAACCAGGAAGAAATAGAAAACCTGAACAGACCTATAACCACTAAGGAAATTGAAGCAATCATCAAAAATCTCCCAACAAAAGCCCAGGGCCAGATGGCTTCCCAGGGGAATTCTACCAAACATTTAAAGAAGAATACCTATTCTTCTGAAACTGTTCCAAAAAATAGAAATGGAAGGAAAACTTCCAAACTCACTTTATGAGGCCACCATTATCTTGATCCCAAACCAGACAAAGACCCCATCAAAAAGGAGAATTACAGTTGCTGGAGTGGTCGGGGGTGGGAGGGATAGGGTGGCTGGGTGATAGACATTGGGGAGGGTATGTGCCATGGTGAGCGCTGTGAATTGTGTAAGACTGATGAATCACAGACCTGTACCTCTGAAACAAATAATATAGGTTAAAAAAAAAAATAGGAAGGGAAAAATGAAGAGGGGGAGATGAACCATGAGAGACTATGGATTCTGAGAAACAAACTGAGGGTTCTAGAGGTGAGAGGAGTTGGGGGGATGGGTTAGCCTGGTGATGGGTATTAAAGAGGGCACGTATTGAATGGAGCACTGGGTGTTATGCACAAACAATGAATCATGGAACACTGCATCAGAAACTAATGATGTAATGTATGGTGATTAACATAACAATAAAATTCTTTAAAAAGTTAATTACAGAGGAGAATAAATCTTTGTTAAAATTTTAACATTAAAAGAAGAATTTAACACCATCTTTTTATATATTTTTATACAAATTGGATCAGCTGAGGAGTGCCTGGGTGGCACAATCGGTTTACCATTTGACTCTTGGTTTTGGCTCAGGTCGTGATCTCAGGGTCCTGGGACCAAACCCTGCTGGGAATTCCTCTCCCTCTTCCTCTGCCCCTCCCCCCTCAAATAAATAAATTAGTTTAAAAAAAAAATTGGATCAGCTGACAGAATGACTTGAGGAACTATAACATAAAGGTTATGAATGTAGGCTCTGGGTTCAATCCCATTCCACAGTATTCCAAAGACAGTGAAGGACCTAACAGCTTAATACAGGCATACCTTGGGAAAAGGGTCCTTGGAGCATTGGTGCTATTTTGGTAGATGCAAGTCAAAGATTAGAAGTGAGTAGAAGAGGAGAAATAGTACATCAAGCTCTTGAGAAGTTTAGCTGTGATGGGGCACGTGGGTGGCTCAGTCGTTAAGTGTCTGCCTTCGGCGCAGGTCATGATCCCAGGGTCCTGGGATCGAGCCCCGCATCGGGCTCCCTGCTCAGCAGGAAACCTGCTTCTCCCTCTCCCACTCCCCCTGCTTGTGTTCCCTCTCTCGCTGTGTCTCTCTGTCAAATAAATAAATAAAACCTTTAAAAAAAAAAAAAGTTTAACTGTGAGAGAGGGGAAAAAAGTGGTAACTGGAGAGGGAAGTGGAGGAAAGGGAAGGTGTTGTCATTGTTTTCAGGGTGAGAGACTTGAATTTGTTTGAATGTCAGTGGCTAGGTGAGTAAATGAATACCGTGGAATTTCATTATGTCATCTCTCTGTAAGACTCCTGGAAAAGAAAAAAACCTCGAGTTTTAAGTTAAAGCAGGTAATGATACCGAAGTATGAAATTGTTAATGAGATTACAGCAAAGTCACTACATTATAAACTCCTTAGACAGTGCTCACCCTTATATTCCCTGTGCCGAGCACATTGAACCCAATATATAGATGATACACTTTCTAAATTGGGAAAGATGGAATAAATTATATTTTCATAGTCATCTATGAATACTTTTTAACTTTAGTTCCATTTACATAAAAACAGCTCATCCTGTTTAAGAAATATTGACACAGTTATACCTTGGAGTTGTGAGTTTAGTTCCAGACCACCACAATAAAGCAAATATTGGAATAAAGCAAGTCAAATGATATAAAAGTACATATAAAAGTTATGTTTATACTGTAGTCTGTTAAGTGTGCAATGGTATGTCTAAAATACATACCTTAATTTTTAAAACTTCAGAGCTAAAAAATGCTAACCATTATTTGAGCTTTCCATGAGTCATAATCAGTCATCGTAGATCATCATAACAAATACAATCATGAAAACGTTTGAAATATTGGAAGAATTCTCAAAATATGACACAAAGTGAGCAAATGCTGTTGGGAAAATGACACCAATAGACTTGCTTAATGCCAGTTGCCACAAACCTTCACTTTGTAAAAAAATTCAATTATCTGCAAAGTGCAATGAAGCAAATCAATGAAATGAGGCATGCCTGTAATAGCAGCCAGTATTTTTTGATAGCTTATCATGTTTGAGTTAATACTCTAAATGCTTTACACTGGGGCGCCTGGGTGGCTCTGTTGGTTAATCGGCTGCTTTCAGCTCAGGTCCTGATCCCAGAGTCCTGGGATCGAGCCCCACGTCGGGCTTCCTGCTCAGCGGAGAGCCTGCTTCTCCCTCTCCCTCTGCCTGCTGCTCTGCCTACTTGTGCTCTCTGTCTCTCTGTCAAATAAATAAAAAAAAATCTTAAAAAAAATAAATGCTTTACATAAGTGAACATCCTTAAACTTTAAAACCACCTATAAGGGAAGTACTGTTATTGCCCCCATTTTACTGATAAGGACAATAAGAGTTAACAAGTAACTTGCTTGTCTATTAACTTTTTTTAAGATTTTATTTATTTTAGAGTGTGCACGTGTACGAGGGGCAGAGGGAAAGGGAAGGAGAGAATCTCAAGCAGACTCTGTGCCAAGAGCAGAGCCTGACACAGAAATTATTTGCACCACCCTGAAATTAAGACCTGAGCCAAAATCAAGAGTCAGATGCTTAACCGACTGAGCCACCCAGGTTCCCCTACTTGTCTATTAGGTTTTTAATTGTGCAAGTTACTTGGGCTCCCTGTGCCTGAATTTCTTCATCTGTAAAATAGGAATAAGAATTACCTCAAAGGATTTTTGGGAGGAGAGCATGAGATAATGCATATAAAATGTTTAGTATCATGCCTGGACCATATTAAATGCTCAATAAATGTAGCTTGTAAAAAAAGTTTGTAGTATATGCTACTCAATTGTATATTTTTTGTTGTGCCTTTATGAAAAATTCCGATTACGTTTCTAACATACTGTATATTCATAATATTTATTTTACTTACAGTTTTGATACCCATTACTGGAAATACCTCTGTAACCATGTCAGGAATATAAAGTGAAGAAAGACATTTTTATTTCATGTGGAAGTACATTTATTTCATTAACATGAATATTCAGAAGTTGCCCTTTGATTTGCATGTTTTCTAGGTAGTTAGATTTCATGGTGGAGCTCTTCCTGCTTATGTTACATCTAGTATCCTTCTTGCTTATGGAGGACAATTATACTCTCTCTTCTCAACAGGTAAGAGTGTTTCTATTCCTCCTCTCTTCTTCATCCATTTCCTCCTCAGTGCTCCATTACTACTTATTTATCCCTCGTCTGGCTAAATTCATGACCCATCTCAAGTTTACAGGCATTTCAGATCCTCTGGTTTTAGGTGATCCCCAAGAAGATTCCTTACTTGGCTTTCCCATTTTACACTTTCATGCCGAAGGTTTTTCCGTCTATTCTGAGGATATCCTAAGAGGTAGAGTCTCCATGATGGGGATCTTGTTCCCCATTCCATTCCTGGTACCTAACATGGTGTCAAGCACATAGTAGGCATTTAGTGTAATGTTTGGACTGTATCCGCTGTATCAGTTAGGTCCTGGCACACTGAATGGAATAATTGAGAGTTTATTTTAATGAAGGGACTATTTCAAAGGTATGGGTAGGGTTGAAGGAAACCAATAAGAAATGATTAAGTGCCAGATTAGCAGTAGAGCCATCTGATACTCCTTGGTGCCAGGGCAAGGGAGTGAGCAAGCCTAGAGAGCTATAGTAGAGGGCAGCATTACTACAGCTGCAGCCACTGTCAGCCTGTGGCTCAACAGGGCGGAAAGGCAGGGAAATACATACACTAACCTTATGTCCTCTTATCAGTGCCTATCATTCATTGCACCTGAGTCAGCCTCCCAGAGTTCAGAACAAAGTAAGGGGAGAATGGATCTGGAGAGGCAAATACAGAATATATACTGCACTGGACAAAACCTTCCTTTGAGTATAGCATTGAAAACAGTTTCCCAGGAGCCTACTTTATAAAGCCCTCACACACTGTTGAGCTTGGATTGTAATCAAGGGAGACGAGATAGGAAAAGACAGTGTATCAAAATACATAAAAGTAGTCTGAAAATATCCTCTACCATTTCCATCTTGCCAAATCCTTCTGCAGCTACTTATTTCCTTTCGATGACTTACAATTTCAAGTCTGCCTTTAGAATTCATTTTAATCTTCATATATTGCTGTTGGGAATGCAAATGGTACAGATGCTTTGGAAAGTAGTCTGGCAGTTACTCTATGACTCAGGATCTGTACTCCTAGGTATATAACCAAGAAAAATGTAAACATACACCCACACTAAACTTGTGCATACATGTTCACAGAAGCACTGTTTGTAATATCCAAAAAAGCAGAAACAACCCAAGTATCCATCAGCTGATAAATGGATAAATAAAATGTGCTGACACACCCTACAACATGGATGAATCTTGGAAACATGCCAAATGAAAGGAGCCTGTCACAAAGGACCATATATTATATGATTTCTATATTATATGATTTTGTTTATAGAAAATGTTCAGAATAGGCCAGTCTATAAAACAAAGTAGATTAGTTGTTGCCTGGGAATAGGGAAACATTGCAAGTGACAGTTAAGGGGAACAAAGTTTGTTTGGGGAGTAATGAAAATGTTCTGAGACTGATTGTAGTGATAAAACCACTAAATTGTGTATACTTTAAATGAATTGTGTGGTATGAGAATTATATCTCAGTAAAGTTGTTTTTTAAAAAAAATCACCTTTGGAGCTTTGTGAAAATACAAATGGTGAAACCCCAGCTTTGGCTTCCTGAAGTTGTTTCAGAAGGGATTGTGTACTCTTATATAAGATCTATTGAATTACAGTAATTTTTAATCTGTGAAGAGAGTCTTTATGACAATAATGACCCTTGCTTTCTCTGACATGAAATATGTTGCTCTTACAATGCAGTCAGTGTATGATTACTCATAGTTACTATGAATTCTTTACTACACATAGGTGTTTTTTTTTTAATCACCAGGTCATTGCTTAGAATATGCTACTATGTTGGATAAAGAAGCCAAGCCATACAAAGTTGATCCTTTAGTAATTACGATTAAGTTTCTGTTGGGGTAAGTTTTATTATCTGTGATAATGATTTTAATTATATATATGAAACATGTTTAGCCCCATAATGAAATATAAATATTCATACAAATATGGCAATTGTCTTGTTTTATTATGGGACTTTTCTCTTAGGCAGAGGCCTAATAGATATATCAACATTTACTTTAATACTATAACCATTTCGAAAGTAATTATAGAAGTTATATGTAGATGTATCAATTATAGAAACTTAGTCTGTAAATATACCAAACTTCTAACATTTGCATAGGGATGCATATGGTCCATAATCTTTGAGTATCCCAGATTCATGAGCACAAACCATTATAGGATATTTGTGAAACAGTGCCTCAGATCACTTTTTCTTCCCATACAAAGTGTATTTTGGATCTCTACCACACTTAACATTCCATTTTTAATTTATTCTAATTTTGTGTTTTTTTGCTTAGAACCAATATGCTTAGATCTCTTTTCATTAGCATTACAACTAGCTGTTGGTTTTCTTTTTTTTTTTTTTTTTTTTTTAAAGATTTTATTTATTTATTCATGAGAGACAGAGACAGAGAGAGAGGCAGAGGGAGAAGCAGGCTCCCAAGGAGCAGGGAGCCCGATGTGGGACTCGATCCCAGCACCCTGGGATCATGACCTGAGCCGAAGGCAGACGCTTAACCATCTGAGCCACCCAGGCGCCCCTAGCTGTTGGTTTTCTAACTTAAAAAAAAGACCACTTATTTATTACAAGGATCAATAGAGAGCAGTGGAACTGCATTCAGACTCAGGACTCAGATCCTTGAAGATCAGTAGACTCACTTGGAAAATAAATGACTTGTTCTCTACAAGGAATTGAAATTTGTTTTTCAGTATAATTACGAATTGAGTATCATGGAACTTTGGTGACTCTAGTGAATGGTCAGACACCTCAGATATTAAATACTTGAATATCAGTTGTTGATTTTTTTTCTTTTATTGTATGTTTTCTTTTATCCACAGATATAAATGGTTTAAGGAATTATGGGATGTGTTATTGTTACCAGAATTAGATGCCATCGTTTTAACTAGTCAGAGTATGTGTTTCCCCCTTGTATCCTTGATTCTCTTTCTGTTTGGAACATGTACTGCCTACTGGGGTGGCCTACTTTCTTCTACAGCTGTGAGACTCCTTTCTTCATTGTGGCTAGCTTTGAAAAGGTAAAAATGACTGAAAGTTTTCTAATTGCTCTTAAGGAAAAAACTATATTTTGATAGGGAACCTCACAATTAATTGGCTTTCACTAAACTCTAATTTTTTTTAAAGATTTTATTTATTTGATAGAGAGAGAGTACAAGCGGGGGAGCAGCAAGGAGAGGGAGAAGCAGGCTCCTGCTGAGCAGAGAGCCCGACATGGGGCTCAATCCCAGGACCCTGGGATCATGACCTGAGCCGAAGGCAGACACTTAACCGACTGAGCCACCCAGGCACCCCTAAACTCTAATTTCTAAGGAAAGATGTATAACTAGAAAAACATGTATTAGTGTTCAAAGTTATGTCTTTGTTAAAGATAATCATTTAGGGACACCTGGCTGGCTCAGTCAGAGGAGCATGCAACTCTTGATCATAAGGTTGAGCCCCACGTTGGTATAGAGATTACTGAATTAAATAAAAACTTTTATTTAAAAAAAGATAACCATTTATTGCAAGCTAAATGCTACATTTGTGTTAATGCCAAGAGTTAATCAAAAAAGTTTGACAGGAGTGCCTTACTGGCTCAGTCGGTAGAGCATGCGACTTTTGAACTCAGGGTCATGAGTTCAAGCCCAGCATTGGGAGTAGACATTACTTTAAAAAGTGACAGATCACTGAAGTATTTTTAATTTTTATGATTGTAAATCTTTCAAAGGAAGAAGCGTTTCTCTGGCAATGCTTTTATATGTTGACTTTCAGTCAAACCTGAGAGCAAGAGAATTCTAGATACTTAAGATCGGATAAGATGAAATGCATAAAAATTCCAAAAACATTGCCTTGAGTTTTATTTTGGACCCAAAGATAAAGTTTGAAGTTACTAGTAGGTTCTTCAGGTAAACCACTGACCTCGTTTCTATTGCCTTTGCTCCTCACCAGACATGTTATGTGATGTACTGTCACAGAGGGGATTATGGTGTGATGCTTCTTCCTTCACCCTTCTGAGGTGCTTCTGACACTAATAGCATCATAAGTCTGAGTGATCTCGAGACTTTAAGAAATAGAAAGGTTGCAAATACATGGCACAGGGCCTATAATTAGTTATCTTTAGCAACATTTTTTCTTAGTACAAATATCAGCCATAGTGTATCTAAATGGAAGAGGAGCTGTCACTGTATTACAGAATATACAAATATATGTCATCCCTTGCCTTTATGAAAAAATATTTTACTGCTTACCTTATGGTACTTGCATATTAATAAGCAGGAGAGCTTGGCAGAGTACTGTATTGTTTTCTTTTTAAATGTGACTGTATAAATAACTGTTAATATACTCTTAAAAGCTTTATTCTTGTTTTTTTCCAGGCCCTCTGAACTTCCTAAAGATATCAAAATGATATCAGCAGATTTGCCCTTTTTGACAATTGTTTTGATCATAGTTAGTTGGACAACCTGTGGAGCATTTGCCATACTGCTTACTTATCTTTATTATGTGTTTAAGGTATGTCACATCACTGAAGTCAGAATGGCTGGGCTTTGTGTCAGGCAGACATACAATTTCCCGTAGGTGTTGTTAACAAAAATTTTAATTACAGTTGCAGTAACCTGTTATTTAAGGTTTAAGTGTAGGGTTTTTTTAAACATCTTAGTTATTTAAAATATATGGTTAACTATAGAGCTGAAATTATTGATCTGAGTTTAAAATAAACGGAGTTTATTTAAAAAAAAAAAGGAAAAATACATAATCTGTTTCACATTGCTTCTTGCTCTTGCAAGTAATGTTAACTTTTTAAAAAACATTTTACTAGAGCAGTTTTCATTCATACCTCCCTTTGACCATGGTAATAGACAAAAAGTTATGTCAGTGGGATCGAGCTATCAATTGTGCTGACATAATGTAGAATGTTATAGATGTTGCTGGAGAATCAGAAGACAAAAATAATGAGGCTGATAATTTTACTGAGGAAGTAAAAAACACTTCCAAGAAGGCTGATAGCTTTGCAGGAAAATCTAGGTTATACAACGGTATACTCTCCTCATTAAACTTAGGTAGAGACAGTTGATACCAGAATGGATAATCATTTTTTTCTTTTTTAAACAAAGGTTTATTTACATCTGCTTCAGACACTAATACATGCACATTATAGATTATTTTCAGTTTTTCAAAGGAAATTTATGTCCATCAGAAAAATCTATTTACTACTTTGATTTATAAATATGATATTTTTAGCTTTTTAAATTGGATATTTCAAATAGTTGGCACAATGAGCAAAACTTTCTCAAATACTTGGCTTAAGCAAACCTAACAAATTAAACCTAAAGATTTTCTGAGATTCTTGTAAACATTTCACCATATATAATTGAGTTCAAATTTTCAAAAATTGAGAATAGATAAGACATATTAAATTCTTTATACTATACTGATGATAATCAAATATTTTACTCACAGGACACTAAGTTGTTAGAGCAAAGCATTATTCAAACATAGGTTCTCAGAATAGCAATATATCCTGGACCCATCATACTCTGGAAGTTTGTTTTATTTTGTTTCTGTTTTTTAATCCATAATAGCAAGCTTGTATAGTTATTATTTACCTTTTCTGAAAGAATATTTGTAAATGTTTAAACATTTTTAGTTATGCAGATTTCTTTAAATTTCAGATTAGTGTTTCTCAGTTGTAATAAGAATCGTTGTTTTTTTGTTTCAAAATAAAAGTGAAATTAAACAGTTTTTTCTTTTTTCCTAGATTGTTCATCTGCAAGCCAGCCTAACAACTTACAAAAATAGCCAGACTGTGGTAAGTTTTATTTTCAAAACTCTACATCACTTTAATATAAAAGAACATGGCGAAATAAAAAAGTTTGTGTGTTTTTAAGTTAGGATTTTATAGTGTTTTAAAAAGGTGTCATGAATTTAAGTAACTTTAAGAAAAGTGAACCTAATAGATAGTCTAATTTTAATTTTTTGTTGTTGTTAGAGAGTACACATGTGGTGGAGGGCAGGTGGTAGCAGGGAGGGGCAGAGGGAGAGAGAATCTCAAGCCCCCAGCTCAGGGCTTGATTTCACAACCCTGAGATCATGACCTGAGCCAAAATAAAGAGTCCAACGCTTAACTGACTGAGCCACCCAGGCGCCCCTGTCTAATTTAAATTTGATCTTTATCAGTACTTATGTCATTTTTATTGTTACAAATTATCTTTTTTAAATTTTAAGTAATTACTTAGAGGATATAGTCTCAGCAGTGGAAATAGCAAGTCAAGGAATAAAAATGTTATAGCTAATAACTGCTTTAAATTACATTGAGCAAGGTAATTTCAATATTTTGTATTAGTTTGGCAATAGAAAGATGTGGTTATTTAGCTATTAAATAAATAATTGAGTGTGATCCTGAGCAAAATAATTAATTTTAATATCTTAGTGTTTTTACTTTATTGCTTTATAGAATCCCAAACACTCTAGAAGAAGTGAAAAAAAATCAAATCACCATAAAGACTCTACAGTACACTATCTTCGTTTATCTGCCAGTGATGCTGAAGATAGTCTTCGCATGCACAGTACTGTGATTAACTTACTAACATGGATTGTATTACTCAGCATGCCGTCTTTAATTTATTGGTTAAAGAATCTCAGGTGTGTTTTATTTATATAATTATAATTTATGTGCTTCAAACAATAAATATCTGTAAGTAGAGACTTACCAGATTCCTAATGGTCCATAAAACTTCCTCAAGAATAGGAAGCTATATAATTTCAGGAAATATATATATTCACATTTAATATATTCACATTTTTTTCCCTCACTATGAGAATATAAACTTCCTCAAAATCTGCCCAAAAGAGGGAAGTATATTTTATTTATTTTACCTTTAACCTTCTGTGAGTCTAGATGTGAAAATGTGCTTTATTTTGTTGACTTAAGGTATTCATAATGCTTGGTGCTTTAAGTATTTTTCAATTCATGATCAGTTTTATGTTTTCTTAAATTTGGAAGGAAGAAAATGCTTACATTTAAAAAGATAAGAAATAATGAAAAAAAATTGTAGTTTTCTTTTCTTTTTTTTTTTTTAAGATTTTATTTATTTATTTGACAGAGAGATAGAGAGACAGCACAAGTAGGCGGAGTGGCAGGCAGAGGGAGAGGGAGAAGCAGGCTTCCCCCCGAGCAGGGAGCCCGATGCGGGGCTCGATCCCAGGACCCTGGGATCATGACCTGAGCCGAAGGCAGACGCTTAACGACTGAGCCACCCAGGCGCCCCAAAAATTGTAGTTTTCTAATTGAGTATCAAACATTGAACTAAAATAAATGACCAGCTATTTTACTACTGAAAACCATTTTTGCCTTGCCACATGATAATTTTCTAGGTTAAATTAGAGTGTGAAAATGCCCTCTGAGATTATTTCTGGAATATTTAGTTATTGGTAGATATTAAAAAAAAAACAGGCCACCTCATCCAAGTAATAATTGATCCCCTACTCAATACAGTTTTCAGAAATGATACAAAAATTTCAAATTATCTAAATACTGGAAATTTTTTTTTTTGAAAAGCCAAGTAAGTTTGATAAATTAGATCAACAGGTTATGAGATGTTAATATCCCTCCTTTGTCCCTCATTTTAGTCAAGATCCAGATTTTTGTTCACAGGTTTGGGGAGAAATTATTTGAGGAGCTCAAATTTATGATTCTGAAATGCTATCAATGCCTCACTGTCCATAAATGCCAGAGATGAGAATTTGGATTTTTAAAAATAGGGACAATTGCTTTATAAAAACCTTTGTTTTCTTCATCTTTTTTTTTCTAGAGCAGACTTAATGTATTTTAAATAATTTGTTTTATAAAAACATTTCTATATGAGCTTTCAGGCATATACCTCTTATTAAAAGGAAGTGCTTCCATATTGGATATTTTCATTTCCTTTAGTAGTTTCTGAACATAATTCTCCATATAAAACCTTAGGTATAAAGATGATCTATAGCAAAAGTTATTTATCAAAGATTTCATGAGCTATTTAGAGCTCTCATATCTATGGAATGTTTTGAAATTAATTTGTTTGATTCTGATCATTTAAAATGATTGGGTGTGCTTTATTGATTTATAAGGGTTTTTTCTCTTTGATATAGGTATTACTTTAAACTTAATCCTGATCCATGTAAACCTTTGGCATTTATCCTTATTCCAACTATGGCAATTCTTGGAAATACTCACACTGTTTCAATAAAATCCAGGTATAATAGTTTAATCTTTCTTTTTCTCACATCTTTTCCTACTCATAATCACTCTTTTATGTCTGAAACATGTTCTTTATGTCTCAATATTTTGACTATGTCTAAATATTTTGATATATTCCTAAAGCTAAAGCTGTAATCATACAGTAATTATGGTTTGTATGCAGGTATAATTTATATATAAGTCTATTTTATTTGTTTTCTTAATTATGGATTTTACTTGTTAGGATATAATAACTTTTTTTTTTAAATTTAGCTCTTAAAAGATATGATGTCTAATAAGATTTTGTTTCCAAAAAGTATGGAAGGAGTGAAGTGGATAGGATTATAGATGCAGTAAGGTTGGCCATGACTTGATACTTTTTGAAGTTGGGTGATGGGTACATGAAATTTATCACACTGTTAGTTCACTTATATATATGTTTAAAGTTCTCTATAAATTTGACTTTTCATTGACTGGTTTGGTTGTTTGCTCTAGAAGCCTGTTTTCAGTTGGTTCTGGCAGATGGTTGCAGATATTCTAGAATGAAGCAGACCTGAGGTTTAAATCTTGGCTCTGCCATTTAATACCTCTATGTCTTTAGACAAATTTCCTAACCCCTCTTATCCTTAGTTTCTCTGTTTTCAGAGTAAAACGGTAATAGTCTTTTTCTTTTAAAAAGATTTAGTGTCTTGTCTTAATATTGTTCCTGTTAGTAATTAAGAGTTTCTTTTTTATTTGGTTAAGTTTCTTTTTTTGTTTTGTTTTTTTGCTATTACAAAGAAGGTTAAAATAGTTCTGTAGCTATGTCCTAGTAAATATTATTTTTGAAGATTTTATTTATTTATTTGACACAGAGAGAGAGACACAGAGAGAGGGAACACAAGCAGGGGAGTGGGAGAGGGAGAAGCAGGCTTCCCGCCGAGCAGGGAGCCCGATGCGGGACTCAATCCCAGTACTCTGGGATCATGATCTGAGCCGAAGGCAGACGCTTAATGACTGAGCCACCCAGGCGCCCCATAAATATTATTTTTGAAAGGATAAGTTTTTAGAGGTAGAATTGCTGAATAAAAGTCCAACTAATATTTTTCTGTTGTTAAAATTTAAAAGACTGAACAAAATTGATTATTTACTTAATAGAAATATTTTTCTCTAGCTAAAATGTGGCTTGTATTGATCTTTTTAAAAATTATGGACAGTTAAATCAGCATATTCTGGTTTTGCCTACAATGTAGTTTACATAATGTATATTTCTCTGTTTCTTTACAGTAAATTGTTGAAGGCTACTTCACAATTTCCACTTCCTCTGGCTGTTGGTGTAATTGCTTTTGGGTCAGCACATTTATACAGGGTTCCATGCTTCATTTTCATTCCTCTTTTACTCCATGCATTATGCAACTTCATGTAAGACTGAATTTAAGGAATGATAAAAATAATTACAACTTTAGGGTCAGTAAGAAGAGAGAATGCACAGATTCATCAATGTGGACAGCAAGATCCTTTGGAGAAGACCAGTCTATTTTTACAATATTGAAAATAGGAAATTAGTTTTATAATGCTTGAGAAAAGTAGTTGAAGCATGGTTTTGTTTTGTGGTATGGCATCTGTGTACTAGTCATTTTTGAAAAGGGTCTGGTGGCCACTGTTTTTGAGGACTTCTGCATATCAGCTATTCTGCTTAATTGGCCATACTGGGGATCTTCTAAATACTCAGTAAATGTAGCATTGCTTGTAATCTCAACTCAAGCATTCTGCTCATTTCATCAAACTTTCTTCTGAAAAGTCAGTTACTTTGTATTTGCTACAGCATGCATATTGAGAAATCAGTCTTAAAAGATGAATGAAAAAGAAAAAGATCAATGAAATTCACAACTGTTTGGTTTCTCAAAAATGAAATAACCTCAGAGTCAGTTTTGGCAGCCACAGTGAACAAGGCAGATCTTTTGTTTTCTTACATCTTTGAAAATACAACTTTTAATTTTAAGGAGACATGTTTTCTTGGTAACCAATGGAAGATTGGTGAACATAATTTAAACTCAAAACTTAGTGAAATTTTCTCACTACTTTTCAAATACAGATCTTATTTTGTATTCTTGGTGAATATCAGGAGTCTATTAAAGAAATCTCTCATTAAATTTAAAGAAAATTGTCCCAGATATTTACTTATTGATGTTGGAGCGGTACAGTTGTTCAGTATGTACCATTTTATTTAATTCATTGACCCAATGGTTGCCAAAAGTGCCTCAGATCATGATGGATTTTTAAAATAACTAAATTCCAGTGGTCAGAAAAAAACTCTAGTTTTGCAGTTTTTGTCTACTGTAGAAAAAAAGTCAGCGTGATCAAATGGTGTACCACAATTGATATGTAAAATTATACTATTAATGGAATAACCAACTGTTACCCATTAATAGCATAAGTATAAACAGTATACCTAAATAAATTGGAGGTTTTAGACACTAGTTTTAACAATGGCATCTTAATTTGCCAAGGTGATTACCTTGGTTTGACAGAAAAGAGTAATATTTCTATTTCATTTGAGACTTCAGCTCGCTTTTAGCTACAGAAGAGTAGGTAATGGAGCTAGGTATCTTTGCCTTAAGATAGAATAAACTCAGGCTGAGGTATACTTGGCTCATGGAGCCCTTCCTTTAGATGTGTATGCTCTACATACCCAAAACCGTTTAAAGTCCTTAAATCCCAGTAATACTTGTGAACTTTTGTCCTTGTTAGTACCCAGGACTGTCCTAGAGTACCAGATTCATTTTGTCAGCAATTGCATCTGGATTCCATTACAACCTCTCAGCTGTTACTGCCTGTGGAGAGTTTCCCCCACTTCACTGCCTATAGAGGGTTACCTCACTTCACTTCTCAGTTATTCCTCAGGTCCTTGCTGTTTTGGCATCAGTTGAAGAGGATCTCGGTATCATCTATGAGGGTTGTAAGTTTGTTTAATTCCATTGTTGTCTCTCCCAACCTCATGCCTATTCAGTATTTATATTTTCACTTATGGAGATCATTAAAGGGAAGTGATAACCTCATAGTAGACATGGCTGACATTTCAGGCTCTTGTTTGAGAGAGGTAGCACAAGGATAAAATACAAAATGCTTGTTTGTTCAGTATATGAAAGGAAAGAGAGTTTATTATACACTTGTCCCATGGCGTACCACTTGTATATATCTGCTTATGTTTACCTATTCATATATTCATAAGTAAGTTTTATATACATTGTATCTTTGTTTTTTTCACTGACATTATTATATTTTTAAGTTACAGGTTAAATGTGTCATTTAACTATTTCTTAATTTAAACTTATGTTTATATACAGAAAGAACTTTAGAAAATTCATTAATTTGTATCTTCTATTGACAGCCACAGCCATTGTGTTTATATGATCTAAAGTCTCCTTATTCAGTCAGTACTGCTCATGAATAAAATGTAACAAGCTTAAATTTCTCATTTGTGAGTAGGAGATTAGCTTTTTAAAGCAGCAGACTAGGCACACTAATTCTCATTAAACAATTTTCGTATGCGTGTAGTTATCAAGTCCTAAAGTCTTATTTATTCCAACAGAATATTTCATTTTAGGGCTATAAAAAGGATTCTAATTAAACATAAACAATAGTAGGTTGGGTCTTTAACCATTGTATACACACACACACACACACACACCCCTACACACACACTCACTCACTCACACATACACATTTTGACAGGGTGTTTATCAAATCCTGATGTACTTTAAGCCTAAATAACTACCGAGATGAGAAGAGATAGGCTCTGTCTCAAGATTAGGGAAATTGATGTTTCTGTCACTTGGGGAAAAGATAGTCCTTTTGTCTTTAAATTATACATTGTTTCTACCATGCTTACAACCTATATTAATTAGCTGGCAAAACAGTACAGCTTTATTAGATATGTTACTAAAAATGAAATTATTTACTGGAAGTTACAGATTCTTCAGTTCAACAAACTTCTGAGCTCAAGTGCTATAACATTTTTATTTAGAATTTGAGTTTTGAGTTATAAAAATTACTCTTGGACCCTATTGTTGATAACTAGATCAAACAGGAAAAATACTGAGTACTTTTAGTGTTTCTAAAGCCTCAGTTGGAGTTACTAGTATAATTTGGAAGTGATAATATGGTAGAAAATATTAACGTCTTTTTTCTGGATCTTTTTCATGCCAGAAATTAAAACAGTTTCTGCTAACTCTTTTCTTGGTTGTCACTAGAATGAAGATATTTAAAACAGTGGTCCCAAAAAGCCATTCTTGCCTGGTTCACATTGATTTTGAGTTTCTTCAGTATATATTGATCATGTATTGATTAATCTTTAATTTTTTTTCATATTTTGGTCAGATAAATTCACATGTATCTAATGGAATACCTTTTCTTGATTGAACTACACTGTGGTATCTATATGATTATACAGTAAAAAAAATAAAGAACTATACTAGGCTTAGTAAATGTTTGTTGTTGATTATCCTATCACTCGTGCAGACGGTACACATTTCCACCACACACACATACTTAAGCAAATTATCGGATTTGTTCATTATCTAGTTCTACACTTTTTCTAATGCTTCAGACTTGTCATTCATAGCATAGTATATTTATTTTACCTCACTGCTCATTAGCACCTCTTACACATAGTGGCCAGGGGAAATAAAAGGAGGGAAAATGGGAGAAACACAACGATTATAGGATAAACTAGGACTGTTGATTCCTGAATCCCCAGATAGTTCAGCTGACCTGTATTTTCAATTTAGGCATTAGGTCTAAATTAGTATAATGTCTTGCTTTATTAGGAGGTTTAGTGTAAAACTTTACAGTGCTGCACTTGCAAATTTAGTAACCTGTTATTAAAATCAGTTGGGAAAATTTTTTTAAATATGTTGTGACTTTCTATGACTAGGCATGTGTTGATTATTTTTTTCATCATCACTTTTTGTTTTCTCAGTGTCACCTATCATAGGAAACTAGATACCTTGTGAGGTTTTTCAAGGGGGGAGTCCATTTGGAGAGCATGACACACAAAGTATCTTTGTATTATGCAGGGTGCCTGGCTGGCTCAGTCCGTGGAGCATGTGACTCTTGATCTGGGGGTTGTGAGTTCAAGCCCCACTTTGGGTGTGGAGATTACTTAAAAATAAAATCTTAAAAAAAAAAAAAAGACAAGACAGAAAGCTTCCTTGCCACACAAGGTAAATGTAGAAGATACTATTACGAAATAGATGATTAGGAGCTGAAATTTTATCTCACTCTTTTTGAACAAAGGACAGCATTTCAAAGTCTGTAATGAACTTTTATTTATACATAATACACATGCATTCTTTCACAGTAAGTTTCAACAGCCTGAGGAAATAGTAAGTCTGTGAAGCTACTTGTGTTTTTTACTTTTAATAAGGATGATAGGAAAGAAAAGTCAGGTCAGTAATCCAAATCTAAATATGTGTACTGTAGATGTTTAAGAATTCACATTTTTGTGATAAATTATATTATAAATATAGAAGACTGACATTGTATATTAGCAGTTTTAAGAACAGAATAAAGTTTGGAAATAGTGAGAATAGACTAATTTATTTCATTAATAGTATAAATATAATAGTACACCTGAATCACTAATATACATCCTTCAAAAGCTAAATGATATTCTAAGCTACATCTTGATTACATTGTCTATGGTTGAAAATTTTATATCAAGTACAGGACTTTCTGAAAGTGTTTGGCATGTTATGCTGCCAAAAATGACTATGGTTTGAAATGCCAAGTAACCAATTTCTGATGACTTTGTATAGGACTTGATATATATGAGTCAAAATTATTCTATACCAATTCTGTACATTGTAACTTCGAATACTTGTAAAAAACTATATTTGTTAATGTATTTTGGTTATTGTAAATTTGTTTGCATATTTGAATTTTAATCATAATTTAGAAAGGCTAAAAAGTAGCCAGTTTTGTAAAGTTCATATACTATTTTTAATGTTATTTTTGTTTTTAGTATTTGTATTCTCGTAATGTTATTAGTAAAAGATTTATAGACAAAGTATAGAACTGTTAACTGTTCATAAGCCAAATTATAGGCATATTTTGTATTTCATGTTGCACTTGTTTTCATATTGGACTTTTTACATCCCTTTTACAGGAAAAAAAAAACACATTTGAATTTTTTAAGCACAAAACTCTGCATTGAAAAATGTAACTGTATCCATATGGTTAGCAAAACATACTTTGCCACCAAAGCTAAAAGAAACTGTAAAATACCTCCAGATATCTGTGCCAATGAATTTTTCTTAACATATTGGGATTAAAGGAAAAATATTTTCAGTATTTTTCATCTGCGACTTAATATTAAATATGTAAATCATCAAAACTTATATTCCATACCCCAAATTTTCTTTGAATATGTATAATATACCATAGTATATTCTATTTTATCTGAATTGTGGAGTAATGTTCTCTGATTTTATTGGGTTTAAAAGTTAATTTACCCAATAATGATCTTTTGTTAATTAATTGAAGTAATCTTCTTTCATTCATCACAGATTCATTCTGTTGTGTAAAACTTTAAATGTTATTGTGCAGATTATTTTTAGTACAGGTGTCTCTCATTTATGTAATAGAGATTTTGCTATGGAATTTGTTTTGTTTTCTATGTATTTCCATTCAGTCCCTTTATAAATCACATGTTTCAAAGGGGAAAATTATCTACTAGATCCTAACAGTACAATGAAATAAACATTTTAAAATGCATATTTTAAGAGAAAATATAAACAATGGTGTTAATGCTGAATGTTAACACTGATGGGTGGTATACTCAAAATGATAGACTCAAACATATTTATCTGACTGAAATTCTTTGATTTCTCCCCTATAGAAATTCTCAAAGGGAATTTCAGTCCCTCGTATTATATAGTTTTGCCCATCGGTTAATGTCACTTATTGTTTCTCTGTCCAGTAAAGTTGATGCAGTTTGCAAAAGTGGTTTTGGAAGTAAGGAGAAAACCAAATATTAAAATGTTTGACCTTGAGGGGCGCCTGGGTGGCTCAGTTGGTTGAGCGACTGCCTTCGGCTCAGGTCATGATCCTGGAGTCCCGGGATCGAGTCCCGCATCGGGCTCCCTGCTCGGCTGGGGGTCTGCTTCTCCCTCTAACCCTCTTCCCTCTCGTGCTCTCTGTCTCTCATTCTCTCTCTCTCTCAAATAAATAAATAAAATCTTTAAATAAAAAAAAATAAAATAAAAAAATAAAAAAAAAAAAATGTTTGACCTTGATTTAGTGACAGTTTATCCAGCTAACCGGTAATGACTGGGTATTAGTAAAAAGATGATGTATAAGACCTAAAAATTCAGTTAACATTGTTTTTTTGGAATGAGTTTTTCCTTTGTGTTAAATAATTTTATTATAACCATGCTATCTACATAATCAAATACGTATTTGTTGGAATGTTGGTAGAAATAACCTCTTCCTCCTCTGTGGAGGGGGAAAAAAATCTCTCAATTTTTAGTGTATGTGATTTAGGAAATTGTATTGTGTACTTACATTTTTAAATATAAAAATGATATTATTTTGAATTGATTGTATTACAGTTTCTTAAACTTATGACTAACTAAATGTAGCAACATACCCATGATAAACCAGACCAAAATTGAATGCATATTATCACTGTGACCTTGAACTTATAGTTGTTTAGGATAAAACAGACTGTGCCTTAAAATGAAGGAATGCCCTGCAATTTTATAACTGTATATTTTATAAATTGGCCCCCAATTTTTTTCTTTGAAGTTGGTGAAGTAAAATTTTTAAAGTTGACCAGTATTTCTTTTTTTGCTCTAGAACCTCCCTTTAATTTCCAGAGTTCTCATTTTGAGTTAAAATTGACCTATACTTCATAGATGTAGAAAAGTAAGTTTGGCTAAAGTTTCTGAAAATTATTTTAGGAAAAGGTGGTGGCATTTCTGTTTTGCACTTATATATTTACACATGGAAAAATCTTCAAATATCATTTTTTTGTCTTTCTAATAAATAATCTATCAAATACATGAATTCTTCCCTAAGACCTATACTTATTTTTTCTCAGATTATTGACACTCATATTTGAATATCAAAAGTTAGTTTACCTAATAACGATTTTTCAGTAATTAAACTCAGATTCATGCAGTATATTTTTAAATATTATTTTCCCCTTTTTCTCTTTTTCCTAACTAATAATTATTTTTAAGGTATCAAGGAACTGGTTTCAGTTGTTATTGTTTTTTTAATGTAAAGACTTACTATATTTTTACTGTGCTTATTTAAAAAATAAATAATTTCTATTAAGACAAATTATTCCATTCATAGGACATCATGGTCTCTGCTAAAAGATGCTCACATCTGTGTGTACTCAGAATTTGTTGTATATTTTTCAATTTTGAACATAAACCCAATATATTTCTTTTTCCCATTTCACCTCCACTACCTCCTCCCAAAGACAAAAATCTAGGTTTCTCTACAAATAAGGAGAAAGAAAACATGTCTTTCCTTAAAACATGTTAAAATTGAGATGGAAATAGTTCAGGCAAGGAAATGTAATAAAATACATGGCTGTCAACCTGCATCCAGAAAATATTATAATTAAAAGTTTATGGGGCACCTGGGTGGCTCAGCTGTTAGGCATCTGCCTTCGGCTCGGGTCATGATCCCAGGGTCCTGGGATCGAGTCCCATGTCGGGCTCCCCGCTCAGTGGGAAGCCTGCTTCTCCCTCTCCCACTCCCCCTGCTTGTGTTCCCTCTCTCGCTGTGTCTCTCTGTCAAATAAATTAAATCTTAAAAAAAAAAAAAAAGTTTATGAAGGACAAACTATTTTGCTGAGATAGACTCAGTAATCCTTTATTTGCAAATTGATACTTTTGTTCTCATCCAGAAAATGCAGTGCATAGTAACAATACTTAGTGCAAAGGAGCTTGTCCTGTAGCATATACTGAAAAATGATTGTCACCTTGCAGATTTTTCCATTTAAATAAGCATGATCTTCTTCAGTACTTTGTATAGTATATGGTGTATGAAATACACATGTGTGATTTTGTTGTATTTTTTATATAAGTAACATTTAACTGGTTGTAATTCACAAAAAGTGCTATTATACTCTGTAGAGTGTTGTATATGTTTTTATCTGTTGCAGCGTTATGGTGTGGGGTTTCATAGATGAATATTTGCCTTCAGTCTTCGCTCAGGTATTAATGTGTAGCAAGTTTTGGTGCTTTATTTTTAATCTGTCATAATCTGGTGTTCTGAATGTTCAACAATAAATTTGGTGAACAAAAGCATGTGGTGCAGAGATTGCTTGCTTACCAGTTCACAATACCGTCTCAGGAAAAAATCTTCAAAATTATTTCTTTACAGCACATCTGGATTTCAGAAACTTGATTGCCTACCAAGCATGGCACATAATAAGATGACACATCATGTGTAAATATTGGAAGCAAGATAAATTCTAGTATTTCCCAACTTGGTATTTTGTAGTGTTTGTATGGACATCTCATGGTTCATGTTCTATTTTTAAGGAATTGTAGTTATCTCTCCCAAATACAGGTCTCTCCCAAAGATGATGCTTTCCACTTTTCTTATGCTAACTTAGAATATAGTCTTAGGTGCCCAGTTTCTCAAATTACATGAAAATGAGAATAATTTAAACAGTTTGTAAAAAGATATCTAGGTCGCCCTAGAACTACTAAATTTGATCAGCAGGGAAGAAATGGATTCTGTTTTGACAAGTGCCTCAAAAAGTAATTCTCAAATTTTGCTTTAGTCAATAAAATTAATTTGCTAGAACTCCCAGAACCATCCAGAAAGATTGTCCTTAGGATTACATGATGCCAAAAGAGACACTGCATAACTTGAGAATTTAGTATAGATCTAAACTTCATTAAGAATGGGTGAAAGTAAAAGGGGGGCAGGACATCTTTTGAGGGACAAGTGTCTTCTTACACTGATGAGAAATGTATTCTAAATTATTTTAACAAGCATCTCTAAATATATCAACATTTACAAATCATCTGCATGTATTAACATTGTATATGTTATTACTGAATATACCCGAGAAGTAAATTTTTAAAAATGAGAAATATACAGCTAGAATTTTTAATCGTTTCCTTGGATACTTAAAAGATTATCCTGAAAACACTTCAATATGGAGGCCACTGGAGTATACAAAATGAAAGCCTCATAGATCATTCCCACTAGTTTTTATCAATTTTTTTAATTCCCACTTCATCTTCACTCCCTTTCCATTATATATATATATCATTGCTGCATAGCAAATTAAAAATTTAACAGCTTTAAACAACACCTATTTATTTGCTCACAGTTTCGGAAGTCTGAGCATAGACCAACTGGGTTTTCTGCTCAGAATCACATTTCTAAATCAAGGTATCAGCCTGGACTACTGTCATAGACATTCAGGTTGTTAGGGGCTAAGGTTCCTCTTTTCTTGCTAGCTGTTGACAGGGGACTGTTTTCTGAGCTCCCGAGTCTCCCTGTTACGTAGCCTTCCACAAAATGGCAGCTTGCTCCTTCAAGATCAAAAGAATTACTTTCACATTTTGAATCTTAAATTTCCTCTCTGACCCAGAATTTTTTTGTATTCTTTTTTTTAGACCCAGATTTAGAGGGCTCATGTGAGTAGCCCAGATCCACTCAGGTAATTTCCCTTTTGTTTTTATTTTTGTGCATGTGGGTTGTTTTGTTTTGGTTTTGGTTTTGGTGCAAAAAAAAGGTTTTATTAAAGCACGGGGACAAAACCCATGGGCAGAAAGAGCTGCCTCCCTTTTGATTAACTAGAGGCCAACCTTAATTACATCTGCAGAATCCCATTTGCCATATAAGATAACATAATCATGTTCCAGTCATACACACAATTCCATCCACACTCAAAAGGGCATGGATGATATAAGATGGGTACACTAGTGGGTGAGAATCTTGGGGTCATTTTAGAAGTCTGCCTAGCATGGGTATCACAGAACTAAAGTCTTTTTCATAATTGCTATACTTAAGTAATGTTTTCTTTCATAGTTCTAATTGAAGGAGCTGATAAAATGTTTCAATGAAAAAAAGCCCCTCAATTCTTTGAACTTTTTTTTAAGATCTATTTTAAAGGGACGCCTGGGTGGCTCAGTCGGTTAAGAATCTACCTTCAGCTTAGGTCATGATCCCAGGGTCCTGGGATCGAGTCCCACATGAGGCTCCTTGCTCAGTTGGGGAGCCTGGTTCTCTCTCTGCCTGCCGCTGCCCCTGCTTGTGCTCTCTCTCTCTCTGACAAATAAATTAAAAAAAAAAAAAAGATTTAGAGAGAGCATGCACGCCTGTGCTATTTATTTTAGATGGAAAGGGTGAAAGAGTCTCAAGCATACTCCCTGTTGAGCACAGAGCCCGACTTGGGGCTTGATCTCATGACCCTGAGATCATGACCTGAGCTGAACTCAAGAGTCAGATGCTTAACTGACTGAGCCACCCAGGCGCCCTGATTGAATATTTTTTTTAAAAATTTATGTTTTGCAAGAGAGAGAGCACCTCCAGGGTGAGTGGGGGAGGGGCAGAGGGAGAGAATCTTCAAGCAGACTTCAGAGCCCCAACACCGGGCTTTATCTCAGGACCCTGTGATCATCATCTGACCTGAGCCCAAACCGAGTCCGTTGCTAACCGATTGAGCCACCCAGGTGCCCCTGATTGAATTTTAAGAGAGGAGAGCTGGGGCGCCTGGGTGGCTTAGTCGTTGGGCGTCTGCCTTGGCTCAGGTCATGGTCCCAGGGTCCTGGGATCAAGCCCCGCATCAGGCTCCCTGCTCTGCCAGAAGCCTGCTTCTCCCTCTCCCACCCCCCCCTGCTTCTGTTCCCTCTCTCACTGTGTCTCTTTCTGTCAAAATAAATAAATAAAATATTAAAAAAAAAAATAAGAGAGAGGAGAGCAGTCTCCCATCCCTGGGTTACTTCACATGCACACACACACACACACACATTTGTGTGTGTGAGAGATTTTGATTAGTTTAGAGATGGTTTTGTTCTTGTTTTTTATTTTTATTTAGTTTTTAAAAAGTAGGCTCCCTGCCCAGTGTGGAACCCAACGTGAGGCTTGAACTCATGACCCTAAGATTAAGGAAAAATAGATTATCAAATAAATAGAAGCATTTTACTATACTTAATAGATAATTTTATATTGGGTATGGGTAAAGAGTAATGATACTAACTCAAAATTCTATAAAATCAAATTGAGCTTTTAGAAATACTTCTAGTTGATTTGCTTCTCTTGACTATGTTCAGAATAAGAGTTAAGTTTTATAAACTTTCTAAGTGTGCTTAAATCATAGTATACTATCTAAATGATTGCATCTGGTTTTGTAGAGCTCTTTGCTCATTTGAATATTCATATATGTAAACCAGCTTATCCTTCAGTATCAAGTAGTTCTGTAAGGATGTTCATACTAACACAGGCTGAACAAAAAAGTTTCCATGCATGTGTGTATATCACATCTCCTTTATCCATTTGTCTATCAATGGACATTTAGGCTGCTTCATAACCTGGCTATTGTACATAATACTGTAATGAACATAGGGGTGCATATGGCTTTTCGAATTTGTGTCTTTGTTTTCTTTGAATATCTAGAAGTGGCATTGCTGGATCATATTGTATTTCTATTTATAATTTTTTAAAGAACCTCCATACTGTGTTTACATAATGGTTGAACCAATTTGCATTCCCACCAACAGTGCGTAAGGGTTCCCTTTACTCCAAATCCTTACCAACACTTGTTATTTCTTGTGTTTTTGGTAATAACCATTCTGACAGGTGTGAGGTGATATCTCACTGTGGTTTTAATTTGCATTTTCCTAATGGTTAATGATGTTGACCATCTTCTCATGTACCTGTTGGCAATCTGTATATCTTCTTTGGAAAAATGTCTATTCAAGTCCTCTGCCCATTTTTTAGTTGGATTTTTTAAAAAGACTTATTTATTTATTTTAGAGAGCGAGAGAAACTCACGAGCAGGGAGAGTGGCAGAGGGGGAGGGAGAGATGTAGATGCCCCGCTGGGCATAGAGCCTGATGCAGGCCATAGTCTTATGACCCTGAAATCATGACCTGAGCCGAAAGCGAGAGTCGGATGCTCAACTGACTGAGCCACCCAGGCGCCCCATGAATTGTTTGGTTTTTGATACTGAATTGTATGAGGTCTTTAAGTATTTTGGATGTTAACTCCTTATTGAATAAATCATTGGTGAGTATCTGTTCCCATTCAGTAGGTTGCCTTTTCATTTTGTTGATAGTCTACTTCACTGTGCCAAAGCTTTTCAGTTTGATGTAGTTCCATTTGTTTATTTTTGCTTTTGTGGTCCTTGCCTGAAGAGACAGATCTAAGAAAATATTTTTTTTATTTGAAGATCTTTTCATTTTTTAAATTTTATTTAATTAATTAATTTATTTTTTATTAACATATAATGTATTTGTTTCAGGGGTACAGGTCTTTGATTCATCAGTCTTACACAATTCATAGCGCTCACCATAGTACATACCCTCCCCAGTGTCTATCACCTAGCCACCCCATCCCTCCCACCCCACTCCACTCCAGCAACCCTCAGTTTGTTTCCTGAGATTAAGAGTCTCTTATTGTTTGTCTTCCTCTCTAGTTTCGTCTTGTTTCATTTTTCCCTCCCTTCCCCTATGATCCTCTGTCTTGTTCTAAGAAAATATTTTTAAGAATGATGTCAAAGAGCTTACTGTCTCTGTTTTCTTCTAGGAATTTTATGGTTTTCAGGTCTTAAGTCTTCAGTTCATTTGAGCTTATTTTTGTACATGGTGCAAGAAAGTGGTCCAGTTCATTCTTTTACATGTAGCTGTCTGGTTTTCCCCATTGCATATCCTTGTCCCTCTTTGTCATAGATTAACTGACCATGTAAGCATGGGTTATTTCTGGGCTCTCTATTCTATTATGTTAATCTATGTGTTTGTTTTTGTGCCAGTACCATACTATTTTGATTACTATAGCTTTATAGTATAGTTTGAAATCCAGGTGCGTGGTAACTCCAGCTTTGTTCTTCTTTCTCAAGATTGCTTTGAGTATTTGGTGTCTTTCATAGAAAGGAGTAACTTCTTGTCACATCTTACTAAATTATTGTGTTTAATTCCTAATGAGCCTGTTAAGAGGGTAGGCGTGTTAGCACTGATATTTTCTTTTGTTGGTCTGTCTCACATTACTGGTATTATTTTCAACTTTTTGTTCTAAGTTGTAGTTTCTTTTTTTAAAATTTAAAATTTTTT